AAGGAGGGAGGGAGAAAGAGAGAGAAACATCGAGGCGAGAGAGACACATGGACTGGTTGCCTCCTGCACCACCCCAACCAGGACTGGGCACCCAACTGCACCCGAGGTGCGTGCCCTTGACCGGAATCAAACCCGAGACTCTTTGGCCTGTGGGCCGACACTCTAACTCCCGAGCCAAACTGGTCAGGGCTGTTTTTCTTTTCTTCTCTTTCTTTTTTATTGCGTCTGTAGCACGCTGCCTACTCCCTGTCTCTCCCACTCACCAAAATTACCCCAGAGAATGTGGACTTCATGAGCTGCCCCCTGAAACACGGATCGCTTGTTATCCTCTCATTTGTCCGCAGCCCTCATTGATTTTACGTCACTGCCATGCTGGAGCCCGGTGCTGGTACGCGCGTCTCATCGAAACCCATCAGCCCCGCAGCCCACGTCCGGGTTAACCCGAGCTGTGGAGACGCTGTGGAGAGCAGCTGACTGGTTCGTGTAGCTAATGTGGGGTCTGGCATCACTGGGTGTACTTTTGTCAGGGGGAACCTTTTCTTTAAAGCGAGTAACTAATAATTTGCTGTCGACACTGAGTGAGACTGCGGGACCATTGGGTATTTTGGGGACTTGATGTGTGAATAGAATCCTACAGGATAACTGGATTTTGTGGAAAAGAATCACCTTTAACCAGAAATGTTGCCTGACACATTTGCTGGGTCTTGGAACCACCGGAGGGACCCACTGGAGTCCCCGCATGTTGAGTGCCTGCTCCCATTTTTTCGATATTTTCTTCAGATAGAGTGGGAGGGAGGGAGGGAGGGAGAGAGAGAGAGAAACATCGACGTGAAAGGGACACATTGAGTGATTGCCATCCACACGACCCAACCAGGGCCAGGGACAAACTGCAACTGAGGTACGTGCCCTTAGCGGGAACCAAACCCGGGTCTCTGCAGACTGCGCTCTAACCGCTGAGTCAAACCGCCAGGGCATGAATTTTCTTTTGTCAAGAAGACATACTTCTGTGGATTGAACATAGACAACCATGAGGCCTGCTATCTACTGTTCACTGTTGGCCTAGCAGCCGTTGCCAAAGCAATAAGAGAAGGAAAAAACAATGAAGAAATGGAAAAAGAACAAAATGACCATGATTGTCATTTTATTATTTTTAAATAGCAAACTAAGCAAAACTTGTTTAGTTTTGTAATGCGTATTTCTCAGTCATGCAGACTCCGAGAGCCCATGAGCACAGAGTGATGGCGTGAGAGCTATCTCCGGTGAAGGAAGCCCCGGGAGACGTCGTGTGGGGTCCCTGGGGGATGGCGTGATGACGCGAACTCTCTTCCTGGCATTCGAGCCCCTGCCCGTCTGCGTCCCAGCCTGTTCCCACGGAAGCAGCAGACACCCCTCCCCAGGGCAGAGTGAACACACTCGGATTGCCTGGGGGGCTGTGGCCTCCTGGGAGTCCCCCCCCCCACTGCAGCTGTGAGAATATTGTTTCCCAGATACAGATGGGATTGTTCTTTTGATATTTCTTTGAAACTGGAACTCAGGAAGTCTCCCTCATCCTCCACCTTCTTTTCTCAAGTCCAGTTTGCCAGTTCCCCCCTCTGCAAGTGTTCTCAGAAGCAGGGGGTCAAACGGACTCTCTGTGGGTAGCATTCAGGTCAGGTGCAGGGCCAGGGGGCAGGGAAGGGATGGCGGCGGTGTGCCGGGCAGCACAGCTGTCTAGGACTTGCCATTTTGCTTCATGGAAAATTCCCACGTGCTGCGCCCTCCTGCCGGCCTCGGTCTTTGTCCCTGAGCCAGCCACCCTCCTCTCCCACAGCCAGCCTAGCCTCCCAGCGGGGCCGCCCATCTCTCCACCACGGAGCTCCGTCCAGGGAGCTGACGTGGCCCCTTGCGGTTTCTTCCTGCGAAGTGACTGTTCTTCTCTCCCCGCGTTCCGGGCTCCGGAAGCAAGTCACACTGCCCAGCCCACACCGCGGAGGAGACGAAGTCAACGCTCTGCACCGGGATTTGGTTTGACGTGCATGGATTTAGACTTAAAATTAAACAGCTGGAGGTGTCTGGCAGCGACCACACTGGACAGGGCAAACCTGGGACATGTCCCTGTTCGGGCTGGGGGAAGGGTCACTGCTGAGTCAGCTGGCCCCTAAGTGTCCCAAATAGGGAGTCCGGATACCGCCGTGTGATGGTGACTCTCCTTCGGCCCGACTCCGCCTTGCTCGGCCGTTGGCAGAAACTCCGGTTCCACGTGCTCACAGGACGGAGTCTCCGCGACACGGCATCTGAAGTGGGCGAGGAGAGCCCTGGGGGGTGGAGAGGGTGCTGAGGCAGTGCCCTTTGTGACAGACGTAGGCCACCTCCTGGAAAGCACCCACATTCGTACAAAGATACGTAAGTACTGTTTACTGCTCCGCCTTCCAGAGGGGCCCCGGGAGCCTCCTTCTTCACTCTGAGACGTTGGAGTCGCGATGGTTTCCTTTGCTCATTAACAGCTGTGAGCTCAGCGCGTCCGCTGACCTCTGGCCGACGGGCAGACGTCCTTCTGTGTGAGCTCCTGGTATAATTGTCCCCTTTTCCTACCATTAGTCTGACGGCCTTACTGCAGACCTTTCATTTTTCATTTTTTAATTGATTTTAGAGAGAAAGGGAGCAGGAGAGAGAGAAACATCAATGAGGGAGAGACATCGAACGGTGGCCTCCCATCACAGGAGGGTCAGGAGGACTCAGAGCTGTGACCGAGTCCTTGGGGATGACCAGACGTGCCCCTCACCATCTGTGTGGCCTTTTCTGGGGGCGGATGACACCTGTGGATGATGTGAGACACTGGGATCCGCAAAGCAGCCTGCGTGGCTCAGGCAGGCGCTGCCGCTGTCCGGGCCGCGGCGTCTTGGGTGATGACATCACCATGGGAGGGCTTTGGCACCTGCTCAGGTGTTTTGTGACTCCTGGGGCATGGGGTGGGCACGGTTTGTTCTGGGGATGATTTCGCCTCTCAGCAGCTCTTCTGTGCCTGGCCTGTTGCAGTGGGGGGCCAGTAGGAAGGGGTATCCCAAGTGACCTCATACTGGACCAGTTTGGGTGAACTGCACTGGAAGAAGCAGGGCCGTTGCTCTCCCTTTGCGTGCTGGCCCCTGGACCCGTGCTCCTGGACTGGGCTGAGATCCTGAGCTTTTCCCCGGGAAGATGGATTTAATCAGGTCACGCCGTTGACCTCGAATCACCGGGGGGGGGGGAGCTATAAAAAAGGCAGATGGATGTGCCGTTTCCACTGCCCCCCCCCCCGACGACTGGTGCCAGGGCCAGCCCCGTTCTTCCCTTTCCCACCGTCCTGTTCTCAGCGAGAGGCCGGGAGGCCGAGGCCCAGCCAGGTGGCGGGAGGTGGAGGCTGAGGCAGAGGCCGTGCCTTCGGGGGGAGCGACCACGCGTCCGAGCCGTGACTGCGTGCCGGGCACCACGGAGACCCTCTCATCTGATGGTCACAGCATCTGGGCGGGTGGTGCTTCGTCCTTAGGTCTCAGAGCGCGCAGAGACGCCAGGGCCCGCGATGTGCTCTCCCGGAGAAAGTCGAGGGCGGGTGTGCGCCTTGGGGAGCACCTCAGAGGCGGGGAGGTGGCTCCACATCAACAGGCGGTCCCCTGCAGGTCGCGGGATCCTTGTTCCCCACGGGCGAGGTTATGAGGGCGGTGCTTCCTCGCGTTAGTCCTTGGAAGTGGGGTGCACAGGACGGGGGAGCCCAGGATGACCGTGGCCGAGGGTGAGGGGGCTGCGTGGGAATGGGGTGGACGTGAGAAGAGCTGGGAGGAGCCTGAAACAACGAGACTGCCGACCCCTCCGCTGTGAGTGTGGGGAGCACAACGTCAGAGCACCCGGTGTTCATCCACAGGGAACTGGCCAGACCGCCGGGCCGGGGTGCCCTGTGGGGCGTGGACAGAGGACAGACTCGGGGAGTGAGGTGGACAGGACACGAAGCAGCTGCTGGTGGCGTCCCGCGGGCCGTTCATTGCCCGTGGTGCCCCTTCCGCATGGACGTCCTGCCTTCTCCCTGCCTCTGGCTGTGGCCCGGTGCCCTCGTGGGGAATCAGGCTTTCTCCCGGGTGCCCAGCGTTGTCCCGGGGGTCGGGGAGAGCGTGAGCCGGCTGCGCCCCTGCCTCTCGGGCGGACCCCGGCAAGCTGGAGTCTGGGCAGCGCCCCCGTTGTCCTTGGCTTTCTTTGGGGGTCGCGGGCTCATCTCTGCCTCGGGTGCTCGCGGGGGCCACGCGGAGTCCCGTACATCCTGCAAACAGGCTCCCGACTCTCGGCCCGTTTCTGGACTAGACTCTTTGTCCTCACGGATTTTTGTCTTGGTTTTGAGCACAGACTTTTCAAAATGTCTCCTGTGTCTGTCACGGCGTTTGTTTGGAGCGGTGTTGATGGGAAGGGGAGATGCGAGGACTCCCACTGGTGAGCGGTCCATCACCTCGGGCAGAAAGGGGCAGCGCAGGTGAGCGCACCGGCCCCGGCGCGGTGTACCCCCGGGCTCCCCCAGCGCCACTGTCCATTGTTATGTCCTTACGGCATCATCGGAAAGAATCATTGCTGCTCTTTTATTTCATTGTTTTTGTTTTTCTCTATTGACTTTAGAGAGACAGGAAGTGAGAGGGAGAGAGAGATGGAAACATCGATGAGAGAGAACATCGATCGGCTGCCTCCTGCACGCCCCCCACTGGGGATCCGGCCCACAACCTGGGCATGTGCCCCAACTGGGAATCGAACCGGTGACCTTCTGGTGCAGGGTCGACGCTCAGCCACGGAGCCATGCCGGCCGGGCCATCACTGCCCTTTTAAAGAGCAGCAGACCTGGGGCTCAGAAGGAATGAAGAAACGGGCCCCTCATCTCATGGCCGGTGCCCCGGGCCTCATTTCAGACCCGACTCCTACCCACGCCCCCGTGTGTGCCAGGTCTCCTCACAGTGCCTTTCCTTTCGTCCCAGGACTATGAGCAGGAGGATGCGGCCCAGGGAGCGCCTGGCCTGAGCTCCCAGTATGCAGACCTGCCCGCCAGGGCCCGGCAGCTGGACCAGGTAACTCACCGCCCTCAGCAGGCCAGGGCGGCGGGGTGGCGGGCGGGCACACGTGGCCCAGCAGTTCTGCCTCTGGGTGTGCACCCCAAGACCCGGGGTCTTGAACAGCAGCTACCTGCACACCCAAGTTCCCAGCCGCGTAAGTCACAACAGCTGAAGGGTGGGAGCCGCCCAGGTCCCCGGAGGGAGGAAGATGAACACACTGAGGTCCCTCCACCCAGTGCATGTGACTCAGGGAAGGAAACTCTGACAACCTGGTGACGCAGCTCACGGCTGTGCCCGCGTCTCCATCCCGCTAGTGGGGAATGAGGGGCCCAGGGGCTGGCACACTGCACCTTCAGGGTTTGTGGGGCGAAGCACCTCTGGGGGGAGGGGAGGCCCTCCTCCGGGCCACACCTGAGTAGCGGTGTCTGTTTTCCCTGTCAGACCCCGGCTCTCGTAAGTGTGACATTGGCCTGGCTTTTCGTTGGGCCCCGACGAGGGAGGGACTGTCTGGCCCTCTCTTGAACACACAGAAACTTTCTTCTTCTTTTTCTGGGAGCAGGCAGTTTGTCGTGGTGGAATGGTCTTCATGTCCTTTTGCTCCTTTGGTAGCAGGGTAGCCTGGCTCAGATCCCAGGAGGGTGTCCCAGGGTTGGTACCTCTGTGACGGGGAGGCGGGTTTGCTCTCAGGAGCGTTCTCTGTTCCTGGAAGTGACCGGCGCTGAGTCTGACAGCAGGCAGCCAGGGTCCCGGGCACTTGTGGGCCTGTGGCCTCTCCACGCAGCTGCTGCACCGTCAGGGCAGCGATGGCCCCGGGAGGCCAGCCCCGTGCCCAGGCCTCCGAGCTCACATCGAGTGTGTTGTATTCGGTCTCATCAGTCCTGCTTCCAGGCGGGACCAGCTGCTGCCACGTCAGAGAGGCAGCCCTAACCCTAACCCTAACCCTAGCCCTCCTCTGGGCTCACCCACACGGAGCAGGGACCCCAGCTTGGTGGAGAGGCACCAGGCACGTGACAACCCGTCCAGAGCCAGGGCAGGGGCAGCTTCTAGAGCCGGACTGTAAAGACTGGGGAGAGAGGGAGTAGAGTTGGGTAGGGTGTGCCGGATGGGAATAGCACGTGCAAAGGCCCTGGGGTGGGAGTGAGCTCGGCGTGTTGAAGGGACCTTAAGAAGACTGGAGTGGCCCATGTGTGGGGAAGGGCAGCATTGGGGCCGTGGGTCGCGTCAGAGAGGCTGTAGGACCTCCCAGGCCAAGCCAGGGGTTCAGGCCTTATTCTGATTTCTGCAGACACCACAGGGGGAAGTGGTGAGATCTGATTACACCTCAGAAAGCTCAGGCTGGCTGCTTTGTGACCAGGACAAGGGGCTCTTAAACCTTGTTCCCAGGACTGACTTCCCTGGCTGGCTGGCACGTGAGACATGATGGCTTTCCGCAAACCCATGCCCCTGGTGCTGAGGTTCAAAATATGAGTATGGCACACCCGGTGAGGCTCAGTGGGCGTTGACCCTGCACCGAGAAGTTGCCGGTTTGATTCCCAGTCAGGGCACATGCCCAGGTTGTGGGCTCGATCCCCAGTGGGGGGCGTGCAGGAGGCGGCCAGTCGATGTTCTCTCTCATCGATGTTTCCATCTCTCTCTCCCTCTCCCTTCCTCTCTCTCTAAAATCAATAAAGGAAAAAAGTATGAGTATGGTTCTCTCCAGCTAAGCCGTGACATTTCCACCTGGAGCATTTGAATCTGTTTCCAGGCTCACATCACTGTGGCAAATAGCTTTAAAATACTCCCGCACCCCAGGCCTTTCTGTGAGCTCTTAGCGACAGCTTCCCCATCACCCTGTCCCACTCAGGAGTGCCAAGTGGGTGCATCTTCTCTTCTGGTGCCACAGAGATCGTCGGGTAAAACGAGCACTTCGCACATAAAGTGTCTGAGGCAGAAGGACTCGGGGAGCTGCCAGGAGGGCGTCGTGACAGTCTGTGGGGAAGCAGAGCTCCCGTCGTGACTTTTGGGGAGGGGGAAGAAGCAAGGTCTGTGGTTGGGCTCACATGCAAGGAGCAGTGGGGGCCACCACGGGCAGCTTCTCCCAGCAGTGCGCCCTGTCTGCTCCAGAGAGGCCCCGGAGAGGCCGAGGGTAAGGGCGCCTCTGTGAACCCGCTGCGAACAAGGCCCTGGGGCTCCTGGTCCGAGAGTGGACCTGGTGCCTGAGGTCATCGGGGCGCCATCATTCTAATTCACATTGTGCCTTGTGGCCATTTTATTTTTTTATCCTACTCGAGGACATTTTTGCATTTATCTTCAGATAGAGCAGGAGGAAGAGAGAGAGAGAGAAACATCGATGTGAGAGAGACACATAGATTGGCTGCCACCCCACATGACTCCAACCAGGGCCCGGGACAAACTGCCACCGAGGTACATGCCCTTAGCGGGAACCGAACCCAGGACTCTCTGGTCCATGGGTCGACGCGCTAACCGCTTAGCCAAACCGGCCAGGGCCCTTGTTGCCATTTTTATCCACTTTTAAGATGGGTGAAAATTTTATTTTATTTATTTTTATTTTTTGTGAATACTCACCGAGGATATTTTTCTATTGATTTTTAGAGAGAGTGAAGGGAGGGAGGGAGGGAGAGAGAGAAGCATCAATGTGAGACACATGGATTGCCTCCCACACGATCCTGACAGGACTGGCAAACCTGTAATCCAGGTACATGGCTTTGACTGGGAATCGAACCCATGACCCTTTGGTCTGCGGGCTGATGCTCTACCGGCCCAACCACACCAGCCAGGGCTTATTTATTTATTTTTAAATATATTTGTTTGTTTATTGTTTTTTCATTGGATGTATCGGGGGTAGCATTGGTTAATAGAATGATGTGGGCTTCAGGTGTCCAATTCTACAGCACATCATTTGGATATTGTATTGTGTGTTCACCACCTCAACTTAACTTTGTTTCCATCACCACTTATCCCCCCTTTACCCTTTTCTACCTCTTCCCACCCCTCCAAGATGGTGAAATTTGTAGACAAAAGAATTAATATCCTGGACAGTTTGGTTAACACTTTTGTATCTCTTAGGACTTTCAGTTCAAAGAGGGCAGAACACAATTCAGATTGGTATAAGCAAACACAGGGAATCTATGGGCCCATGTAAATGGAAAGGAAAACATTAGCTTCAGGTACAGCTTGATCTAGGCGCTCAAATGATGTCATCAGCATCCTGCTTCTCCCTCTGCATGTCTTGATGCTCCGTCCGTTGCACTGGCTCTGTTCTCAGATGGGTCATTCCCTCAGGATGGCAAATGGCGCTCCAGTGACCACATGGTACCTTCAAATTTCCAAGTCCAGTGGGCAAAAGGGCCCGTTTGTTCCCAGGCTCCTACACAAGCACACGACCCCATTCTCACCAACGCGATGGGTGGTCCTGTGACCCTTTCCAATCAATCACGACACTGATTGGCCAGGCTGGGTCACACCCCCAGTCCTGAGCCAATCACAGTGGCTGTGGGCGGAGCGAGGAGGGAGGCGTTGTGCGGATTGGCCAGCCCTTGGCCACTCGTATTCACCGCCTGCAGGAGCGGACCCACGGCCCAGACACTGCTCAGAGGCGAAGGTCCTCCAAGAAGAAGTTGAAGGGGGAAGCGCGGTGCTGCGAGGACGGGCCCTCACCTGGGTTGTGACCCGCGCCCTGTGGTCCTTGCTGCTTGCAGGTGAGAGCGGAACATGCCCGGCTCAGCCGCGCGCTCGCCCTGGTGACCAGCGAGCGCGACGTGGCCCTGAGGGAGAAGCGCCAGCTGCGAGCCAAGCTGGAGAACCTAGAACAGGTGCTCAAGGTAGGAGGCCGCCCGCCGCCTGCCCCGCGCGGGCCGGAGCGCACGGCTCGGGCCCTTCCTCCGGCAGGCATCAAATCCCGGGCTCTCGGGGCTGTTTGATGGCATAGAAAGCGATCCGTGACAAAATCCAAGTGTTTCTGGAAGCGGTCCGCAAAGCCAATTATGCAATTCCGCCGCGTGGGGTGTGAAACACAGCTGAGCGGGGGATGGGAGGCGGCTGGGCGTCTGCGCCGGGCTTCACACTCGTGCGTTCAGCGGTTCTGGAGAGGTTCGCCACCTCGATGCCAAGGCAAGAGCCGGCCAGCAAGTCGCTCCATCAGGGGCCTGAACGTGGGGCCCCTCGGGCCTTGCTGGCGGGCTGGGGTCGCCTGCAGGCTTTCCCCCTGGGCTGACACTGCTGAGTGGAGCTAAACGCATCCTTTGGCGTTTTTCATTTTTATTTTTTGGAGTGTTAAAATTTCATTGGGTTCTCAATGTGGTTACCCATTTTATGTTTTTGAAATCTTCACCCGGGGTTATTTTTCCATTTATTTTCAGAGTGGGAGAGAGAGAGAAACATCAATGTGAGAGAGAGACACGTTGATCAGTTGCCCCCTGCACGACCCCAGCCAGGGCCAGGGACGGAACCACAACCAAGGTTCGTGCCCTTGACCAGAATCGAACCAGAGACTGGTCCGCGGACCGACCTCTTACTGCTGAGTCACACCAGCCAGGGCTCACTGTGGGGACGTTCTAAGGTGTAAAGTGATCATATCTGGCCCTGCGGTCCAGTGCCCACATTACTTTTCATGAACACGGAACACGGTACCACACGGCACCCACCAGCCCTCCTTCCGCAGAAGTGACTGTCACTCCAGCTGTAACATTGGGGGACGGTGCTGGGGCCCCGAGGGGCAGCAGCTCGGTGAGTGAGTGGTTGGGCCTGGGGTAAGTGGGAAATGGGAGGGGGACTGCTAAAGAGCCCGGAGTTTCTTTTGGGGGTGACGAAAACAGTCTGGAATTAGTGTGATGATTCTACAACCTCGTGAGTGAACCCACATGGCTGAATTGTACAGTTGAAGAGGGTGAATTTTGTGGTAGGTGAGTTACAGCTGAGTTTAAAGATGCCCTATTCCCGCAGGGCTGGGCCCAAATGGGAACCACGCTCATCGTGGGGTCTCCCCTTCGAGCCTCTGAGGCCCCCGCCACCTGCACACCCGTCTTTCCTCCTGCCGGGAGCGGGCCAGTCCTGTGTTCTGACCGAGCTGCCTCCCGCCTCTGTCCTCCGGACCCTCAGCGGCTCTGTCAGATGACGAGAGACACCTGTCTTCTCTGAGGAGCACTGGGGTCCTGGCAGGGGGGGGCACGTCCCCTGTGTTCTCGGGAGCTTAGCAGCCAGGTGGTTGACAGAGGCGTGGGCTGGGCCGGGCACCGACGGGGGTGCGGCAGAGACACCCCCAGTCGCGGGCTGTTGTCGGCCCCTGGCTGGAGAGCCGTTCCAGGAGAGGCTGCTGGACAGCTGTGCTGGGTGAACTGTGTCCCCCGAGTTCTCGTGTACCCAGGGCCTGTGACTGTGACCTTATTTGGAGTTAAGTTCCTGGGGAGACACTTGTTCCCTCTCATCCCTGCTGACCACCAAGAAGCCCAGACCTTTAGGTATTGGACATCTCCAGGAAGACCGAGGAGCGAGGTGCTCTCGGATGGAGTTTTGTGTGATGTAAACAAACCGTGACCTAATTAGGACCATCCCGTTACCTCAGAGGCTGTGGAGACCATGGGCGGGTGATGCTGGGAGCAGGGTTCCCCCGGATCCCTGGGAAGCACCCCCACAGGGGTCCACCCCACACTCAGCAGGGTGCTGAGTCTGGAACCTGACTCAGGGCTAGAAGAACATTTCTGAGGAACTGAGCTTAACCCCTTCTGCCTTAGGATTTCCAAGGAAACGGAACAAGTATCCGGAACGAAAGTTTGTTCTCGTGATGCACAGATCAGTCAGTGCAGATGTAGGTAACCTGAGGCTCAGGTCATGGCAATGATCAGCTGATTACCGGGACTAATAAGGACCCCCACAGTGGGGACTAACCTGCCTCTGCCTCCAGCTCCTTCCCGCTGCCCTGCGCCTCGCCTGGCGCCTGTGCGCAGAGACGCGTCCTCTGCCCCCTGTCGCCGCGGTGGGCTTTACTCAACGCCCTGAGCCCTGAGCGCGTGGTCTGTGTTGTGAGAGGACCACACCGATAAACCCTCCAGATTCTCTGTGCAGGGCTCAGCGGCCAGCAGAGCCCTCGAAGGGCCTGACGCAGACAGCCCGTAGCATCGGGGCGGCCGGACGCCAGCTAGGAGCAGGGCGTTTCTGCTCTGGGAGCTCGGGCTCCGTGCCCACCTCTGTGGGAGGTTTTGTCGGGGGCACACTCTCTCATTCTGATGCCCCCCCCCACCGCCCACCATGGAGTCCACATTTCTCCCTGTCCAGGGCAGCCGAGCCCCGTGCTCTCTGCAGGGTACCCCAGCCAGCCCATCGACAGTCAGAACTGCTAGCGTGTCGGATGTTTGGCTTCGCCGGATTATCTGGGAAACGTCAATGAAAACCAGTGAGAAGACGCCTCTCTCCACGAGCTGAGAAGCAGGAGGGGTGTGAGGGGCCAGCCGGTAACCGAGACAGCCCTGCCAGGCTGTGCGCCGTCCTGTCCACCTTCAGCGCGTGTGCATGCTGGAACTCAGGGCTCCCTGGGGCTCCACCTAGAGACAGACACCCCCAGTGCGTGCTGTGTCTGCTCACCAGGGGCCACGCAGACGCACAGAAACACAGCCTTCTTTCCAGTGCGCACAAGGCATCCCTCGCGAGACAGTAAGAGCACCTGGGTGACTCCTGTGAAGGGACCGGTTCTTCTTAATTCCTTCGCTGGGGCGGGGCAGGCGGAGGACACGCCCCCCGTGGATCTGACATTAAGGAGACATTCACTTTGCTCCCAATCTCTTCACTCCTGTCTCATCCAGCTCCCTGGGGAAGCGGCTCGGTGACATTTGTAGGCTACTTAAGTGCTCAAGTTAATGTCGACATCCTATAAATAGCAGTGCTTTGAAGATAAACCCTGCCCCCAGCAGAGCGTCACAGACAGGCGTTTTCCTGTGTGCCCGGCCCTCTGCACCGGCCAGCTGTGAAATGTCCCCGTGGCACGCGGCCGGTGCCCTTGGAGGGGAAGGCAGACAGAAGTGGAAGCCACATGTGAGGAATGTGGGGGGAGTTTGTCTCAGGGTGAAAGGCAGGGGCTCACCTAGGGTGAACCCAGGGACCCCAGGATTGTGCAGGGTGTGGTCGTTGGAGGAGGACATGCAGATTGCCTCCCGGGAGAAGGGCAGCATCTGGGGACCAGGCAGGAGGGGAACTGGGCTGACGCAGGGCTCTGGGGCAGGATGGAGGAAGCCCCACAAAGGAGAGGTCACCCATGTCAAGTGCCCCTGAGAGGCGGGGTCCCCAGGGCTGAGACATGGCTGCTGCTCCAACAACAGGGTGCTGGTTTCCGCTGGGCTGTGGAGGGCGGGACTGAAGGAGCCTACGTGGTTGCTGTGGACGTGAGGAGGCAGCCCTGCGGGGGCCGCAGCTGTGGAGGCCCAGGCAGGTCTGCGTTCCCAGGTATCTTGCCCCCACCATGCCATCGATGACCTCGAACACTGTGTCCCTGGGGGGCACCTGTCTGTACACATTTCTGCCTTCCTGACAACTACTCCATGTTGACTTGGTTCATCAGCCTGAGAAACTAAACCCTGTTCCACCCCAATTGTCTCCATGCATCTGATCTACAAGCTGCGTGTCCCTTCTGTCTCTAAGCGAGAAGCCGACCGAGGTGCCTGGCGCTCTTCACCCTCCCATGACCCCACCACCATGCAGCACCCCTGGAGCGATGTCCATGTTCACGTGACACCTCTGATGGACCCTTGTGAGGAAGACGGTCCCTCCTTCCACTGATAGCTTCCTTCCTGGAGCTAAATAAGGAGCACAGGCTCGAATTCTAGGAGAATTTGCTGCAACAATGTATCATTAGACAGCTGAGTAATCATTTATAGACCCAGGCCGGCTGCGTGGGAGCCCGAAAGCACTGACCTGCCTTGGTCTCGCTCCACAATCCAGTGGCCGTGGGATAAGTGGACTCAGGCCAGGAGAGGGGTCATGGTTAGTCATGGTTAGGTGTGGTTAGTCGTGGTCAGTAATGGTTAGGTGTGGTTAGGCACAGTTGTGGTTAGTCATGGTTAGGTGTGGTTAGGCACAGCTAGTCGTGGTTGGGTATGGTTAGTCGTGGTTAGTCATGCTTAGGTGTGGTTAGTCATGGTTAGGTGTGGTTAGGCATGGTTAGTTGTGGTTAGGCATGGTTAGTCATGGTTAGGTGTGGTTAGGCATGGTTAGGTGTGGTTAGTCGTGGTTAGGCATGGTTAGGCATGGTTAGGCATGGTTAGGTGTGGTTAGGCATGGTTAGTCGTGGTTAGGCATGCAGTGCTCTGAGGTTTGACACATCAGGTGGCTTCTAGGCTCTACTACGTGGCGCCATGTGGCCCTAGGCAGGCGACTTGCTTCCCAAGTCTGTTGTAAACAGTGAGCACAGCACCAGGTCAGTGTCCAGAGAGGTGGTGCGTGGACCCAGATGGTGCCTGGCATGTGGCAGGTGCTCGATGAATAGTTTACCTGCACTATGATTATCTCACCAAGGTCATTGTCCTCGTCTCTCACTGTCCTGCTGGTAGAGCCCCGGTCACTGGTCTGTGCACCCGGGCTTTACTATGACAGCAGTGTCACGTGACTGAACTACCCGGCTCTGTGTTACGTGACGCTGTTATGTGACTATTATGTGACTGGATTAGGTGACACTGTATTATGTCAGGAGGAAGGGGTTTTCTTACACTCGGAGTAAAGGGTGACACAGGACTTAATACATGACAGACAGGTCCTGTTCTAACTCAGGTAACATTCAGAACGCCTCTATGAGGCAGGCGTTAACTAATAATTACCTTTAGCTACTTAATTATTAATTAAACTCGGGCTTGAACCCCAGCCTGCCGCGGAGGACAGACGCCTGTCGTGAGGAGAGCACAGCTGTGGAACCACCACCCCTCTTGGCTCGGAAGGTGGACCTGGCTGGAGGCGCCTTCGGACTCGTCGGAGCCGAGCACGGGGTCCAGCCGGGCGGGCAGCCAGGGCCGGGCCTGCGACTCCGCGGCTCTGTCCGGGGCCGGAGATCTGAACTGGTGGCCACTCGCAGCTGTGTGCTGAGTAAGGGAACCTCTGCACCTCGGTTCTCCGCGCTGCGGACCGGGCCTGCAACAGCGCTGCTTCCTGTGCCTGGGGGAGGACTGCGTGACCTCCCGTAGCAGTGACGCGCTGGGATGACGTCCACTGCCCGGGGAGCGAGGAGCTGTGGCGGTGGTTTCTCAGCCCAAGGGGCCGAGCAGAGAAGAGACAGAGACCGTTTCTCAGACTGAGGACAGGAAAGGGGTCTTCCCTTCACGTGGGAGCCTGCGGCTCTTGCATTTAACATGTGAAAAGTAAAAGCGGGGTGAAGCCTTGTTATGCCAGGGTCTCCCTGGCTGTCCTGCCACCCTCAGGGGAGCCCCAGGAAGCAGCAAGGAGGCGGGAGTCGGGGGGCCCAGTGCAGGGCACAGCACGCCCGCCTGCTCCCCCTGTCCCCGCAGCACAAGCAGCAAGGAGGCGGGAGTCGGGGGGCCCAGTGCAGGGCACAGCACGCCCGCACACCCGCCTGACCCCGCCTGCTCCCTGTCCCCGCAGCACAAGCAGCAAGGGGGCGGGAGTCGGGGGGCCCAGTGCAGGGCACAGCACGCCTGCACACCCGCCTGACCCCGCCTGCTCCCTGTCCCCGCAGCACATGCGCGAGGCTGCTGAGAGGCGGCAGCAGCTGGAGCTGGAGCATGAGCAGGCCCTGGCTGTCCTCAACGCCAAGCAGCAGGAGATCGACCTTCTGCAGAAGGTGAGTGGGGGCAGGCGCTCGGGTGGGGCAGGGGTGCAGGCTGCGGGCCCGGGACAGTGAGGGTGCAGGATGCGGCTGCTCACCGAGCCTCTGTCCCAGGCTGGCGATGCTGGCCAGGGAGACCGGAGTCCTCTGCGGCCCGGCGCGCTGCCCTTGCTCCTGAGCCCGCCTCCATGTCTGCGCGGAAGCGAGCGGAGCGCTGACCCGCGCTGCTGGCGAGGACGCAGGGAAAGGGACTGGGTTCCCGGCTGGGGGTGAGTTGCTTCAGTGTTTGGGGCGAGGAACCGGACAGCTTCAGGTAGAACTAGAACCACACAGATACTCTGACCCCTCGACCTTCGACCCTGGGTACCCTGCAAGAGTCACAGGAACCGGCTCAGAAGGATTTGGGGATTTTCTGCAGAACTGTTGTGCGGGCTGGGGGTGGGGGACTGGATGAGATCAATGCCCATCCGAGGGCATGCGTGTATATCTGTTATCTGGGGGGTTACGTGGTGTGTGATTAAGGGAGCAAAGCAAGTTTCAGGGAAATATTTATAGTGTGGTCTCATTACTAGAGAGAGAGAGACTGACAGAGATAGAGACAGAGAGACACACAGAGGGACAGAGATAGAGAGACAGAGACAGACAAAGAGCACAGAGGGAAGGAAGGGGGGACTGGGTAGCCCAGAACGTGTACCCCAGCACCTGTGACAGGACTGGGAGCTAAGACATCAAGTCCTGCCTGACCTTTAATAGCCACGGTCCTCCTGGCTCTCCCCAAATACATACAGGACTCGCTCTTCCGGAGCCAGGGGGCCTGCGGTCCCCGTATAGTTCTCATCTCATTTCCTTCCCGAAGCCTGGTGTCCCCCACCCAGCCCTGCTCCCCTCCCCAGGGCAGCGGCCGTAACCAAAGCCCACCTAGTTGGGTCTCAGGTCCTGGCCCCTGCACCCCCCACAGCCTCACCACAAACTCAAGGACACAGGGTTGCTGGTCCCCCTGCTGCGGGGAGAGGCGTCGGGGGTTTCTCCCCGGCTCACCCTCAGGGTGATTGTGCCAGGTGGGCGACCTCGGGTGCCCGATAGTCATTTACTGAGACCTCGCTCTGAGGATGGGTCTTGCTAAGCCAGCGCCGAGGGGCCGTCGCAGCCCTCAGTCCCTGTCATCACACGGAGGCGATATTTCCTTAGATGTTGTCCAGGGAGGACCCTGCTGGGACACTGGCCACAGTATCCCTCGTATCTTCACCTGCGTGCGCAGGGACCTAGGAGGTGGCCGCCTGGTAGTTGGGCCGCCACCCGGGAGCCGCGCCCCCAGCCGGGTCTGAGGCAGATAAGCCTGCGGAAACGCAGCACTGCCGGCGAGGGCGACGTCGGTGTTTCTCAGCAGAGCCTGGACTTTTGTTCACCGAGGGCTGACGCCAGAGGAGCCTTGCCCGCCAGCCCGCGCTGGGCTCCGCGCTCCCGCCTGAGCGCGGCCTCTCTCCTGTGCCCCTCCCGCACTCCGCGCGTCTCTGTCTGGGACACAGGCTTCCTGGGTCGGGGAGGAGAGGAACGAATGAAACGCCAGGGCACCAGCTTTGTGGTGTCCGGTACTCGGTCTTTGCAAGGGTCGGAGAGGAAGGTGAGCCTTGAGCGGGACCAGGAGCCCGGAGCGTGCCCACCGCGCCAGCCGCTCTGCTCAGACCGCCTCTCAGCATCTGGGGCAGGTGCGTCCACGCCGGGTCGCCGGCAGCTGTTATCACCGCCCGCTCCAGGCGGAGGCTTTGTCCACCTTAAACCGGCTGCAGCCCTGCCCGATTCCACTGGTTTAAAATTCCTCCCACGGGTGGAAGGGCTGCTTTTGGTCTTAAGACTGCTCCTGAGACGTTCAACCCAGGGAGAAGCTGAACGTGCCACCGTAATCCTCGGTCCACCCGCAGTGGGGTTGGCTGTCGTGCGGAGGTGGCAGGGGACCGCAGAGTGGCCCGCTGCAGCAGTGTTCTCCCCGGCCCCCCACGGCGGGACGGCGGTGTGTGTTCCTCAGCTTCCTCAGCTCTGCGGAACCCGGGAACCGACCTGACCGTGCTGGGGTCTCCGCCTGGTGCCACGAATGTCATTCACGTTGTGTGGGGCCACATCGTCGGCACCCATGGATGGCCCTCCCCCGCTCCACCCTAACCAGCGCCCACTGTCCCCACCCAGTCACCACGGTGCTTAGAGGGCTCCCTGCTCTGAGCGGGAGGCGCCCCGTCTATCCTCTGCGGGTCTCTGGCTCCCCTGAAGCCACCGTGTCAGAGTGATGAGCCAACCCCCGGACGTTTGCTCCCCGGGCGGTCACCCCTCTGACTGCCCCACCGCCGGACCTGAGCCTCCCTGGGTCCCGGTCCCTGTCAAGGCCACCGTGCTCTGCAGGAGCCGGCGTCCAGTCGAAGGTCACAGCTTCCCCGCAGGCGGTCCCTGCACGAGCCCCACTCTCGCTGGCGCTGAGATTTGGGGGCTTCAGCGCTGCCAGTTCTAACGGTTAATTTTAACAGTCCCCTCTGATTGCCCACACGGCGCAGCTCGCAAGGAACTGTGAACGCGTCTCCGGATTTGCAGTCGAAGCCAGGAACCAAATCGTGGCTGCCAACTTGGCCGAGATGTAACCACCGCTCTGCTGGTTTTTTTTTTTGTTTTGTTTTTTGCTTTTTGTTTTTCCCCATCCTGCCATTTGAAAACTATCTTTGACTCGGCTGGCACGGCGGTGGTGTTATTTATATAATCCCTCTCCGTTCCTGGCTGCTGGGTCGTCTTCTCCTGTTCTGTTAACGTGGTGTCGGCTTGCTGTGAAAGGGATGGCTCTAAGCATTTGGACACGGAGCCGAATTCAAGAACGGTGCGATTCATCACCCGCGTTCCATTCAGTCGCCCGGCTTCCAGAGCCCGCATTTGGAAAATGCGAGAATGAGACCTCTGCAGATCTCGGCCCCTTCTCCCCACTCCGAGCTGGGGACGCCACCCTCCTTCCGACCCACGGAAGTGTGCCCCCGTAACGCACGACCCACGGAAGAGTGTCCCCGTAACGCACGACCCACGGAAGAGTGTCCCCGTAACGCACGACCCACGGAAGAGTGTCCCCGTAACGCACGACCCACGGAAGAGTGCCCCCGTAACGCACGACCCACGGAAGAGTGTCCCCGTAACGCACGACCCACGGAAGTGTGCCCCCGTAACGCACGACCCACGGAAGAGTGCCCCCGTAACACACGACCCACGGAAGAGTGCCCCCGTAACACGTGACCCGCGGAAGTGTGCCCCCGTAACACGCATTGGCCTGTACGCTGTTGAGCCCCTGTTCTCCAGGGACCCCGAGGAATCACTCCTCCAGACTGAGAACTTTTAAAAAAAATGAAAAGAACTGGGGTGACCTTGGTTAATAACGCTGCATAAGTTCAGCTGTGCAGTTCTATGTGACAGCCTCGGTATGCGGCTTTGTGTGCCCACCACGGAAATCGAGTGTCCTTCCATCACCGTATGTTTGACCCCTTGGCCCTTGACTGCCCCCTCCACCACCTTCCCGCTGGTGAGCACCCCACTGTTATCTGTGAGTTTGATTGGTTATTGCCTTTGGTTTTATATCCCACACAGGATTGAAATCACACGGTTCCTGTCCTTTTCGTCTGACTTATCTCACGTAGCATGATGCTCTCAAGGTCCGACCACGTTGTCACAGAGGGCACTTCTCATCCTTTTTCATGGCTGAGTAGTATTCCGTTGTGCACATGGGCCACATTGTTTTATCCAATCACCCCTCGAAGGACACTGGCTGCTTCCATGTCTTGGCCACCGTGACTAATGCCTCATTGAACATGGGGGTGCATATATCTTCGTGAACATGCGTGTTCAAATATATCGGTCCGAGACCCAGAAGAGGGGTGGCTGGGTCTACGATAGCTCTCCAGAACCGTGAATCCTAAACGTAAATGTCAAGGTAGCCTGTGAATTCCTTATCGGTGCTCACTACTCGAAGGGCCGGCTGCACTATGGCGTCCAGACAGAATCCTCTTTAGAAACTGGTGTCTCCGCGTCATTGGGAATGTCTGTGAGACGCTGAGGCTGCTTTGCCCGGACAGGCCAGCGTGGACGTGGCGTGGGCCTTTCTCCCGTCGCGCCCCGTCCGATTCCCACCCGCGCTCTCAGACCTGGGCGCGCGTCCCGATCTTTACAGAGTCAACCCCCATGGAAATCCATTCCGTCTCGCCCCAACGGGGAGAAAAATGATGGAGAGGCTCAGTGGGGGCTCAGCGGGAGGGTAACAGTCAGTAGCTTGCTTCGAGAACGCTCTCTGGTTTTTCTCCTTTAAACGTTCACCTGTCTCTCTTTGTCACCGAAGGCTCAGGTCGAAGCCAAGAAGGAGCATGAAGGAGCCGTGCAGCTGCTAGAGGTACGGGGCCGGGGCCGCGGCTCGTCCGTGGGGCGGGGGCGGGCGCCCTGTGCGGGCCCAGCAGAAGCAGCGGCTCGCGGCTGCCCGGTGCCTTCGGGGTGCCCGTCGCTGGTGCTGGGCACGCGCCTGCCTGCCTCCTCAGCCCACAGCCTGCACCGCAGGTGCTGTCACGGTGCCGTTGCACCCGGACAGCAGTGCTCCCTCGGCCACTCAGCCAGCGTCAGGGCTGGGTCTCAGACGTGGTCTCCCGCCTCTCCTGCCCCTCGCGGGCGGAAAGCTCAGAGGAAGGTCCTGGCCTGGGAGGGGTGCTGGTCTCCACGGGAGGCCCCTCCTGGCTGCAGCCGCTCCCTGCGCCCTGTCCTCTGGCTCCAGTCCAGGGGCAAGGAGCCTTCTCCCCGAGGAGAGAATGTGCGTAAATGGCCCCTGTGGGCGTCCTGCCAGCCAATGAATTGTGTCAATTTTTAAGGGGCCACACTGATCAATCCTAAGGGGCCACTTGGCAGCCGCTACCTGGGGAGGGATTTGCAGAGTCAGACAAGGGACAGCCCAGGGAGTCGAAGCACAGGAGCCGTCGGACGCCCGGCCACAGTGCTGTCCTCAGCAAGCATGGTGGGGGCCCTCCTCGGCGCCCCGAAGGTGGGGGCGGGGCGGGGAAGAGGCAGCAAGTGTCCCAGTGTGAGTGTGGGTGCTGTGTCGGGAGTGACCGTCCTCTGGCCCTGGCCCTGGCCCGAGCCAGCCTCCTGGGGAGCTGGACGGAGCTCCTGGGACCCTCCCGGAGGCCTCTCCCGCCTGCACCCATCGTACAGGAGAGCTGGGTCTGAATGAGCAGCCAGACCTTCCACCCGCCGGACCCCCGGTTACGGGCACGGCTGGAGGGCGCGGCCTCCTCTCTGGGGCCTGTGCCACCCAGAAAGGCCGACAGGGCCTCTCCCGAGCCCACCACCTCCGGACGTGGGATGCGGTTGTCCTCTTTAAGGCGACCTTGTCCCCGTCCCCAGGGAAATGGCAGCCACTTAGGACAGAAGCTGCGTCTCTCTTCTGTCGCCATTTAAAGCCCCTCCCCCGCAGGAAAAGGCTCCATCGTCATCACAGAGAGTAAAATTGTTTTTTTTTTGGAAAGCGTCCATTAGCTAATGAATATCTGAGGGGTGAGCGTGACAAATGGCAGGTGGGCAGGTTCGTGACCGCAGACTTTCCGCTGGCCCCCCTCCCCCCAGGAACCCCCGGCCCCGGGGCTCCTGGACCACCCTCTGCGCTACCGTTGGCCTTGTGTGCTGGCTGCCGGCATAGGCCCTGTGCTGATGGTCTGTGTGGTGCTGAGCTGCGCTGTGCCCGTCCCGCCGAGGTCCCGTGCCCGGCGCTGGCGGCGTGCATGCCTGCCTTGGCGCGTGGCGACGGCCGGCTGTGACGTGCTTGGGCTTGAGACAGGGACAGGGAATGCGAGGTGCTGAGACTCCGTCATTCACACATCTCTCTGTGATTGTGCCTTGTTGCTTCACCCAGAACACCTTGGAGAGCATGCAGGTACTTAGGGAGGCCCGTTCCGCCCCCGTGTGCTTGGAGACGCTTCCTGTGCATGGAGCCGCCGCGCGCCCTGGGCCCGCTCACCCCCTGCTCCCCGAACCGCAGCTCCCTGAAGCAGCAGAGGGAGGTGGGCGCCTGGGGTGGCGGGGGGGCTGGGGAGCTGCCTGTGAGCCCCTGAGGGATCCGACTTTCATCTGGGCCCTGGGGGGCTCGGTTCTGGTCTCCGGAGTGCTGAGCGGGCCCAGCGAGCCCGGTTTCCCCTTCTGCCAGCTGTAACCTTCAGGCTGAAACAGCTCCGTGAATCCTGGTGGCCCAGGGGGGACAAGTGGTGAGCAGGGGGCCTGCCGCGGGGTCTGGAGCCGGCTGAGGGCCCAGGACTGGTCATCGGTCATCAGAATTCAGACCCGAAGCCTGAACGTTGCACCTGTGTGTCCCGTGTCTGTCGTAGCAGCTCTGTGTCTGTGGGGGGACAGGCGGCAGGGGGTGGGGGCTCACGTCCGTGCTTCTGGGCCTCAGCTGCAGCGTCAGCCATGCTCACGGGCCGTCGGGCAGAAGCCGGGACGTGCAGCCAGGGAGGTGGCCTGTGGCGTGGTCCTGCCACGTCTGAACCCCAGGGCCTGTGTGCCAGGGTGCTGTCCACGCGAGAACCCGAGAAGCGAGCAGATGACGCTCTGTGCTCATCCGTGTTTTGTAGCCCGGGTCCCCGAGGAGTCCCTGCCCCCACCTCCGGAATGGCCTTTGCAGCCGGAACCATGCAGGGAGGGAGGAGGGCGGGGACAGGGACAGTATTTGGGGGTCCAGCCGCCCAGGATGAACCCTGACTCCATCTTTGTCCCCCGAGGCCTTTCTCCGCCTCATTGGCTCCCCGAGTCCCGGGTCCCACCCGAATGTGTCACCTGCCCACATGATGCCTGGGTGGGAAGTGCGCCCCTGACAGAACATGAACACTCTCACGACCCCCCGCCGGGGCGCCGAGCCTGCGGGCAGCTCGCAGGGCGCTGGTCACACCCGGCGGCGCCCATGCGCGCCCAGTGCCAGCCTGGCAGCTCGCTTCCCGGTTCTCTCCTGGCGGCGCCCTGGGACCCGCCCGGAACGCAGAGCCTGTGCAGATGAGTGCGTGCGGCTCTGTGTGCACTCTGCTCGGGGGCGGGGCCGCTGGGAAAGGTGCTCCCGGTGGAGTCCCCCGAGTAGGTGTGGAGGGAGCCCCGTGCCTCTGGCCCACCATCCGAAGCAGGGAGCTGTGATGTGTTTGCACGGGTTTGAGCGCCTGTCACACCCTGCTGAGGACAGACGCCCGGGCGCCTGAAATGCGAGGGACCTGGGGTGGCTGAGGTCTGCTCACGGTTTGCCCGTGGCTTCTGCAGGGCACACTGCATGTCCTTCATGGGCGAGGAAACTGAGGCCCACTGAGGTTACCCCGAGTGAGCGAGGGGTGGGCCCAGCTCAGCCTGCAGTCAGAGGCCTGCTCTGCCCGACAGGGTGTGTGACCTTGACCTTGGCTCCTCCCAGCCTCATCTCCCTTGCTCTGCGGTGGGCTCACACCAGCTTAGCCCACGGTCTCTGAGCGTCACCCGCACGGGAAGCCCGGCTCAGGCTCATAGTACGTGCTCAGCGAGTGATCAGCAGCGTCTCGGCCCTGTTCACTCAGAAGGACCAGCCGCTCCTGTGACCCAGTCTGCCCGGGATGCTCCTGGGGATGCTCCTGGGGCTGCTGTCCCGCGGCGACTGTTCGCAGCGTCCCCGTCCTGTGTGGATGCCAGTCGCAGGGCATGGCGCCCACTCGCCAGCTGCCCTCCGCGAAGCCGGAGTCGGAGGGCCTACACGGGGCGGGGGAACCGGACGCTGGAACCGGGACGCTGGCCGGCAGGGCTCTGGCCGTGTTCACCTGCGTTCGAATAGACACCCACCCCGACCCGCGGGTCTCTGCTGCCTGTTCTGGTTCTCGCTTGTCTGCCTGTAACGGCGACCTGTGCTGGCAGGGCGGTCAGGACCAAGGGCCTCTGACCCGCACCCTCCACCTGGACGTGCGGGCGATGGGGGCTGGGCTGGGACGCGGGCTCAGGGACGCGCCACACACCTGCAGTGCCCATGCTGACTCACCCGGCCTGGCTCTGCCCGCCGCCTGCCCGCCGCCCAGCCAGGGGGCCGTTGGGCCCTGAACCCTGACAGACGTTGTGTCCAAACATTTCTTCTGCGTGTGACTCGGGCCCCTGGAGACACTCAGCCCAGCTCGGGGCTTGGCCTCAGCCGCCCAGGCCTCCACCTGCAGGGCCGGTCACTGGTCCTGGAAGGTCCAGCCCGAAAACCTGCCCCTTCTGTGGGAGCGAAACTGGAGCCCAAGGAGCTTCCAGAGGGGGACTCGCCCGCTTGGGGCTCAGCGGGCCCCTCGTTCTCGACTCCTTGTAGTTCAGACCTTTGTCCCCTGAAACGAGTGAGAACAGGGGTCTGGGAGCCCCGGGGTCTCAGTTGGCAGCTGCTTTGGAGCCTCTGATACCCGAGGAGGAACAGGCCTGAGAGCTGAAGAGACCCCTGGTTTGTAAGCAGCGCTTCACTCCAAGGAAACTGAACAGCTTAGTGCCAGAGGAGGGGACCGAGCCCTGTTCCTCGCGCTGGGGACACAGCAGGGGAGCAGCAGAGGGAAGTGCCCGCCCTTGTGGGAGGAGCCAGTCTGCGAATTGCGACAGGACATGGTAGATGGACTCCTGTTGGTCACGGCGTGAGGGGCGTCGGTGAGGCAGGGCTTCCTGCCCAGGCCAGGAGCTCGGAGCTCAGCACCGACTGGCAGACGTTTACTGAGCACCTACTATGAGCCGACTCTGGGCGAAGCACCGAGGACTCAGGGAGCTGAGAGCAAAGTCCTGGAGCTTCCCGTCCGGCCACAGCGACAGAGGACTCAGTCAGGGAGCTAACAAAGCGAGGGTGGCCAGGCAGGGAGTGCGGGCCGAGGAGGAGAGTGGAGCCTCGTGCTGCACCAGGAGGGGAGGTGCGGGCAGCAGCCAGGGCAGGAGCCAGAGCAGACGGAGAGCCACCGGGCACCCTCCCTGCCTGAGTCCCGGAGGGGACACCCGCCCGGCGGTGCTCCTGAGGTGTCACCAGCTGCGGCGTCACCCGAGCCACATTCTAGACAAGCCCTGCGGGTAGAAGTTCCCCTTTATTGCTAACGAGGTGCTCTCTGAGGGATCAGGCCCACGGGTGCATGGCCCCCCAGGAGGAAGGTGCACCGGTGGGTGAGTGAGCTCCCCCAGGTCTGGACGGTACCTCTTCTTGCTCCGATTTTAACCGGCTGCACACAGACCGGGCAGTGCGTGGCGCACTGCTGAGAGCTGGAGGAGCTTGTGGCCCCCACGTTCACCCCGGAAGGGAGCGTGGTTTTATCAGACGCCGGTCCGACGGGGGGAGGCAGCCCACACGCGCAGACTCGGCCCCTCCCGCCGCCCGCTGACCCGAGCGCCTCTCGTAGTGCAAGGTGCGGGAGCTGGAGGACAAGTGCCGTGTGCAGAGCGAGCAGTTCAGCCTGCTGTCCAGGGACCTGGAGAAGTTCCGGCAGCACGCGGGCCACATCGACCTGCTGGGCGGCAGCTGTGTGGCCTCCTTGGACGTCCCTCCGACCCCCAGCAAGCCTTTCCCACACTTCATGAACGGGCTGGCCCCCTCCATTGGGTCAGGTGAGTGCCAAGCCCTCCCGCCTGGGCCGACCCCCACGCAGCGCCGGGTCTGGGAGGGCGGGCGGCAGCGTGCCAGACGCAGGTGCCCGTGACGGGGTCAGCAGCGTGCCTGCAGTGTACACGCTCCGGGCTGCTCTGAGCCCCTGCAGGGGGGAAGCCGGGCCCCTGGGGGGCGACACTGCCGAGGAGCCCAGAGCGGAACTTGAGCAGGAGGTCTGGGGCGGGGCCCCCGCTGTCACTCCTGGGCGGGGACCTGCCAACCTGGCTTCTCTGGCGGGTTTGTCCCCACATCACCACCAAGCCACCGTCACCAGGGGCGGGCCCTGCCTGATGGACGGCCAGCATGGGGGTCAGGCCAGACTGAGAGAGGGAGACGGTGGGTCCTCTAATGGAAATCCCAAGCGGATGCCAGAGACGGGGAGCAAACGGCCGGAGCACGTTATCATTTCATCTTGTCCTGTCTCCACGTCGTGGCAGGTCAGGACAGCTCCTTCGGAAGCCGAACTGCCATCCGAGACTACATTCGACCCCTCCCCCTCTCCGGTGACACAACGAACCCTCTGTCCACCAGGCCCACCCTGCTGTCCAGATCTGGAGCCCCAAGATGCAGATCTGAGTCCGACGTGAGTCCTGTTCCGGGGGTCCCACCGACCGGCTCGTGACGTCTGGTGTAGACACTGACGGGCCTCACCGCCCTCCCCCTCCTCCTGGGCTCTCCCCTTGCTCCCGTTCACCCATCAACCAGTGTCCACTGAGCACCTACTATGTGCCTGGGGACAGGCCCCACGTGACAGAGGAGGCCCTTGCTGTCCTGGAGACGGAGTTCCCAGGGGAGACAGGCCATACACAAGCCAACATGTAAGAAGCCAGGTGACACCAAGCACCATGGAGACCACACAACAAGCCAGTGACGCGAGTGACGAGACAAAGGGGAGGGTGCCGTCCCCAGAATGGCCAGGGGCATCCTTGTCATGTGTCCACAAAGGAGCCCAAAGCCCATTTGCCTGGAGTGGAGCTGGGAGGTGGGGCAAGGAGCTGAGGCCGTGGGCGGGAGGCCCTGGAGACCCTGGGAGACCCCGGGAGGCCCCTGGAGACCCTGGGAGACCCCGGGAGGCCCTGGAGACCCCGGGAGACCCCTGGAGAACCCGGGAGGCCCCTGGAGACCCCGGGAGGCCCCTGGAGACCCCGGGAGGCCCCGGGAGACCCCGGGAGGTCCTGGAGACCCCGGGAGGCCCCTGGAGACCCCGGGAGGCCCTGGAGACCCCGGGAGACCCCGGGAGGCCCCGGGAGACCCCGGGAGGCCCTGAAGACCCCGGGAGGCCCCGGGAGGCCCTGGAGGCCCTGGGAGGCCCTGGAGACCCCGGGAGGCCCCTGGAGACCCCGGGAGACCCCGGGAGACCCCGGGAGACCCCGGGAGGCCCTGGAGGCCCCGGGAGGCCCTGGAGGCCCCGGGAGGCCCTGGAGACCCCGGGAGACCCCGGGAGGCCCCTGGAGGCCCCTGGAGACCCCGGGAGGCCCTGGAGGCCCCGGGAGGCCCTGGAGGCCCTGGAGACCCCGGGAGGCCCCTGGAGGCCGCGGGAGACCCCGGGAGGCCCCTGGAGGCCCCGGGAGGCCCTGGAGGCCCCGGGAAGCCGAGTTGTCTAAGTGCTCAGGGACCAGGCAGGTGGGGCCAGGTCTTGCGCTGTTTGCAAAGTCCTCTCCAGCTCAGACTGGGCAGTGCGATCAGGCAGACAGTGGGCTTGCGGCCGCCCTGTCCTGGGAGGTGCCCGTGACCCCTCGGGCTCACCTACTCCTCAGCACGGTGCCCGTGAAGGCCTGTCCCCACCCCTCCTGCCCCGAGGTGGTTGTGGCCACGGGAAGCAAACCCTGTGGGCAAAGTCCTTGGCTCTGCAGACTCCCTGACAGCAGGGAAGTAGGGCGGGGGCTGGGAGGGGGAGCCCCTGTGCCGCCTGCTCCAGGCAGTGCTCCCGGATGTCTCATCCTGACCCTGAGTGCAGTGGGCCCGTGTCTCCCTCTGGACTGTGCCCTTGAGAGCAGAGCGCACAGCTCACTGTCTGTCTTTGTCTCCAAGGCCCCTCAGGGCTTGGCTCAGGGAGCATCCTGAGCCTTAAATTATGTGGGGGCAGGTCCTCACCCGAGTCCAGTCCTGCTGTGGGGACGGGGTCCTTTATAAAGGTCCTCTGCATGGCCTAGGAGCCCACATGGCTTTGTCCTGGGCTTGGGGACGGCGGCATCTTGTGGGAACCCCCCCACCTGAGGGACGGTGAACGGGGTTGTCCGTGTGTCTCCCATCTGCAATGGGAGACTACGGCTTCGTCACGGAATTTCATCCCTGTCTCTGATAGATGGACAATGAACGGAACGCCAACCCCTCCAAGCAGAGATACTCGGGGAAGGTGCACCTGTGTGTCGCCCGCTACAGGTGAGCCCCCCCTTCCCGCACGTGAGCCTCTGTGAGTGGGGGCCTGGGGGCAGGCACGGGGGTGGGTCGGGACACCCCGTGAGCTGCGGACGCCCCTTCCCGGGCCCTGAGAGAAGGTTGAGCAAGGCTCCTGTGGACAGGGGCCTGGGGACAGAGAGGCCTGGCGTGGGGCCACACCTGACAGGACGGGGATCAGGAGGCCAGGTTCTGGTCCCACCCTGTCACTTAACAAGCTCGCGACCTTGGACAAGCCCCTCACCTCACTAGGCTGTCAAAGTTGGGAATGAGAATGTCTGTTCTGCCTTCTCACTAACATTTACTGCTGATCAAATAAAAACGTGGCCTTCAGCCCGGCTGCTGTGGCTCAGTGGTTGAGCATCGACCCTGCACCAAGAGGTCGCTGGTTCGATTTCCGGTCGGGGCACATGCCCAGGTTGTGGGCCCGATCCCCAGTGGGGGGCACGCAGGAGGTTGCCCATCGATGTTCTCTCTCATCAGTGTTTCCATCTCTCCCTCCCTTTCTCTCTCAAATCAATAAAGGAAAAAAAAACTTAAAAAAAACAAAACAAAAGCGTGGCCTCCACGTGGATACGACTGCGCGTATCATCACGTCGGCGTGGCGATTTGACCACATGCGCCTGTTGCCTGCGACTACTAGGAATGTCATTTCTGTTTTCTTACTGAGGCCTTTTCTATTGTGTCACCTAATGAAACTTTTAATGAGAACATCCAAATGTACGCAACATATGTTTTTACTTGCAAGCTGGACAAGGCTCTAAAAGATGTTAATTCCAATATTCTGAGGACCAGAGGTCACAGGCACTTTTATACTCTCAGCGGGAGGGGAAGGGAAAACAGTGCGTCCACTTGTCAGGACATTTTGGGAGGTGCGTGACTTTGACCAAATATACTTCTGAGAGATTTATCTGTAGAAAGAATGTGTGCAGAGAGGGTAAGAAGAACATGGCAACATGGATTATATTAGCCCCAAGTTAGAAGCAACATCAGGAAGTCAAACTGTGCTCCTCCAACCGGTGGAATATTACGCACCCATTAAAAAGGTTATGATCAAAGATTTCGTGAGGTGGAAAGAGTCATGCTGCCTTGTGAAGTGTGAAAAATAAGCAGATGTACTAAACAATACGTGGAACACTATTCTACCTTTGCTAAATTGTATATATGGAAAGATTACACGGTTAATGATCTTTCTCCTTTGTTGACTAACTTGGAAATTTATAGTCATGGTAGAAGTGACAGGTGTGAACAGAAATGTCAGAGTTATAAATAGGTCACCTGATACAAATATTCCAAATGTACAGCTAGGCTTCAGAATTATCCCCCCCTTTTTTTATCCTTGCCCGAGGATATTTTTTCATTTATCCTCACACAGAGTAGAAGGGAGGGAGGGAGGGAGAGAGAGAAACATTGATGTGAGAGGGACACATCGACTGGCTGCCTCCTGCACGACCCCGACCAGGGCTGGGGACGAACCACAATTGAGGTGCGTGCCCTTGGCTGAAATTGAACCCGAGTCTCATTGGTCCGTGGCCGACGCTGTAACCACTGAGCAACACCGGCCAGGGCCATCCCTTTGTTTAGCGCCGTGCAAGGAAGGCAGCCATGGCCTGGGTCTCAGCGCAGGGAATGGAGTTCGTGCTGACTCAGCGCCCATCGGCCCACCTCCTGAGTGAGTTTGTTTCTCCCGTAGCTACAACCCCTTCGACGGCCCAAATGAGAACCCAGAAGCTGAGCTGCCACTCACGGCAGGGAAATACCTCTATGTCTACGGGGACATGGACGAGGACGGCTTCTACGAAGGTCTGTTCAGCGTGGCGGTCGGTCAGTGTGCACGGCCGGTCCCCGCGCCGGGCTGACCTGTGGGCCTCACAAACAGGCCCCACACGACTCCTGCTGGCCCTGCGCTCTGCTCTGACCACCGCTGGCCCGAGTTACCAGGTTTCCCTTTCTGGGGCCCGAGGGAGGTGTCCCGGGACAATCCTCTGACCTCTGACACTTGGAGATGATACGATCACATTCTCCTCTGCAGTTCTGCGGCAGCCTCTCGTCTAGCACCGGGGTCCCCAGGGGCGTCCTCTCCTACAGGGCCTGTTCAGGTGCCCCCCCCAGCTCAGGGCACCCACACTGACCGTCAGGTTCTGGCACTGGTTTGTACCCCTGTGTAGAAGTACGTGCCCAAGGCAAGAGCCCCCTGTCTGTGTCACAGTGGGGTGCTCATGTCACCTCTTAATGCCTCGGTTTCCCCGGCTGTAGAGGGGAGGTAGTCACAGTCCCCACTGGGGAGGCTCTGAGGATAATGGGGCACAGGTAAGGTTGGGGGGGCCTGGGGCACAGTCCCTGCTCAGCAGGTGGGAGTTACCACTCCCGTCTCTGTCCCCATCATCACCACCACTGTCCCCATCATGGTGGCATGCCCCTGGGGTCTGTGAGCGCCCTCAAGGTGAGGACACTGTTCCAGACCCGCCCCCTCGATAGGTCTGGGCAGAGTCCACCCTCGGATTGAGCAGGGTGGTGTCTCCGGGGCTTCACACACCCTCAGGCAGGTCTGTGGGTCGTGCAGCCCTTCCCGGCCCCTGTCACTGGGTCCCCAGCCGTGCTCCCTGTGGACGGGAGGGGGCGAGGTCCCCGCCCCCTGGTGCTGGGAGGTCCCCCGAACCTCACCGTCCCTCTGGTTAGGCCATTTCATGAGACAGGTCCCCACTGTGACCCTCCACAGCCAGTCTGCCTGTAAAGAGCCCGTTGGGTGGCATTTTTCTTTTTTTTGATCCTCACCCTAGGACATTTTTATATTTATCTTCAGAGAGAGTGGGAGGGAGGAACAAAGAGAGAAACATCCATGTGAGAGGGACACATCGAGTGGTTGCCACCCGCACGACCCGACCAGGGCTGGGGACAAACTGCAACCGAGGTACATCCCCTTGCCCAGAATCGAACCCAAGACGCATTGGTCTGCGGGCCGACGCTCTAACCACTGAGCACACCGGCCAGGGCTGGGTGGCATTGTTTTGCAAGTCAGCTCAGGTGGTCTGGGCACCAGACAGGGACTTTCACGAAGCTGTGCCCAGCGCCTTGCGGGCAGAGTCCCCTTCGACGTGTCCTCCTGTGGCCATGGCTTCAAGACTAGGAGCCGGTTGCTTATAGTTCAGCTTCTGAACCCCCAGTTTACACGTTTGCTGGTCCCCCCACAAGCGTCTGCTGAGCACCCAGTGGCGCTGGGCCCTGGGGGTGTTCAGAGGTGGCTGGGGCTGGGGTGCGGCGGGAGCAGGCAGAGGGAGGGGTGCTGAGGGGGTGCCGTCCAAGCGAATTCCTAAGGGGGTCCTGTGGGTGCCATCCAAGTGGATTCCTGGGGGGATCCTGGGGGGTGCCGCCCGAGCGAATTCCTGAGGGGGTCCTGGAGGTGCCATCCAAGTGGATTCCTGGGGGGGTCCTGGGAGTGCCGTCCGAGTGGATTCCTGGGGGGGTCCTGGGGGTGCCGTCCGAGTGGATTCCTGGGGGGGTCCTGGGGGTGCCGTCCGAGTGGATTCCTAGGGGGGTCCTGGGGGTGCCGTCTGAGTGGATTCCTGGGGGGGTCCTGGAGGTGCCGTCCGAGTGGATTCCGGGACAAGCTGAGGAGCCCACTGTGACCCATCCCTTGCCCCGCCCGGGCCCGTGTGGGTGGGCGACAACTCTCCCTTGCACCCAGCAGGTGAGCTCCTGGACGGGCAGAGGGGCCTGGTGCCCTCCAACTTCGTGGACTTCGTGCAGGAGAGCGAGGCGAGGCTGAGTGCGCTGGGGACCGAGCAGGGCCAGAACTTCCTCAACCACGCGGGCCTCGGCCTGGACGGGGAGACCATCCTGGACCTGCAGTCCCCGCCTCGCCTGGACGCAGGCGTCACGGACGACGGCGGGGGGACGCTGGACGTGAGCGTGGACGACGTCGGAGAAGACACTGTGCCTTACCCCAGGAAAATCACCCTCATCAAGCAACTCGCCAGAAGTGTCATTGTGGGCTGGGAGCCCCCGGCCGTGCCGCCGGGCTGGGGGGCCGTGGGCGGCTACAGCGTGCTGGTGGACCAGGAGCCGCGCCTCAGCCTCCCGCTGGCGGGCAGAACTAAGGCCCTGATCGAGAAGCTGAACGTGGCGGCCTGCACCCACCGCGTGTCCGTGCAGTGCGTGACCAGCAGGGGCAGCTCCGACCCGCTGCGGTGCACGCTGCTCGTGGGCAAGGAGGTGGTGGTGGCCCCCTCCCACCTGAGGGTGGACAACATCACCCAGACCTCCGCCCAGCTGTCCTGGCTGCCCACCAACAGCAACTACAGCCACGTGATCTTCCTCAACGAGGAGGAGCTGGACGTGGTCAAGGCCACGCGGTACAAGTACCAGTTCTGCAGCCTCAGGCCCAGCACGGCCTACAAGGTCAGGGTCCTGGCCCGGCCCCACCAGATGCCCTGGCAGCTGCCCCTGGAGCAGCGGGAGAAGAAGGAAGCCTTCGCGGAGTTCTCCACGCTGCCCGCAGGTGAGCCGTCCCCGCCTCCAGGGCTCCGTGATGCCGCCGTGCCACGTGGCGGGGGTGGGGTGGGCAGAGGGGAAGTCTGTGTGCGGCCACGGTATCCTGGAAAGTCCCCTAAATCCCTGTGAAACACAAGGGGTGTGTGTGTGAGACTGTGATGAGGGGAGAGAAAGTTCAGAGTGTTCAGGGCTTCGATGTTGGAGACATTTCCTTTCACTACGGGGCCGAGAGGCTGGTCCTGTAAGAGACGGAGTCGGGCAGAGAGACCACCCAGGACGCAGCGAGCCCGTCTTCACCCCTCCTGGGCTGCTCGGTGAGCGGAGTGAATGAAGCAGCCTCATCCCTCCGCTTGTTTTCCGCGTGGTGTAAGTCACACCCCTGGTGACTGCAGAAGACGGGGGCTCCTCTGCAGACGCTGCTTTGGTTCTGGCTGTGTCCTCTGTGTCGCCCCCGCTCCTCCTCGTGTCCTGGGTCAGTGTGGAGGAGGGGCGGGCTCCCCACCCACGCACACACTTCAGGGAGGCGGACGAACCCCCTGGGTCTGCTCATTCCTGCTTCACCCAGATCCCAATGCCGCTGAGGGAAGGTGGTCCCACCTCGGTCCCCAGCTGTCCCTGTCCTGTGGTCTTGCTGCATTTGGACGAGGTGCCCCCCAAGCAGGCGTTTCTGCAGGGACATTCGAGGCCCAAGCAGTGCCCCTAGGGTCCTCCACAGCCCCGTGCCCATCACAGCTCCCCACCCTCTGCCTCTGCCCGTCCCCGCCCACCCGCCACCTCGCTCCCCAGCAGATCCCCAAACGGTTCAGTGTCATTTCACCAAGTGCACGTCTTCCACGGACGCGGGCTCAGCTTCCCGAGGCTCGATGGGCTCGTGTTTCACTTCTCCATGGGCTCTGGGGCCCTTGGGATCCACAGGGGCCTGACCCACAAGGTCGTAAGCGGGCGGGACAGAAGGACTCTGAGGAGGGGACACGTCTGCATGGGAACTGGCTCAGGAAAGGTCGACTTACTCCTGTTGTACGACAACAGGGTGTCCTGCCCGCCCACGGGACGTGATCGTGTGTGGGGTCGGGGGGCCTCGTCCTCGGTGCCCATGCGCAGTCCTGCGATCCGCTGCGGAAGGGACGAGACACCTGAGCGGGCTGCACAGAGGGAGGCGAGGGCTCGTCCGTGGGGGTCAGGCTTCCTGGAGGCAGGGGTGCAGGCGAAGGCTGTGGCCGTCCCACAGGGCAGCTCCCAGGCCCAGGCGTCTCCGGCCGTCGGGCCGCTGGAGCCGGTACCCAGACTGGGTGACGGAGGAACAGGCGCGGACCTCGCACAGTCATGGAGGCCGCGAGTCCCAGGCCAGGGTGCCGGCCGACTCGGCGTCCGGTGCGGCCCCTTCCGGTCCGTGGACGGGAGGTCTGCAGGGCTGATTCCAGGTTCGAGTGGTGTCATCGGGACCATGTCTCTCTGTCACACCCCACGAGGGAGCAGCCTGGATGGCGCGCAGCCCAGGCTCACGTCCTCTCGAGAGAGGGACAGAGGGAGGAGCGGGCACCGCTGGAGGGGGTGTCTCCTCCGCCGCCGCCGGGACCCCAGCAGTCCTGACGCTGCCCACCAGGCCTGAGGCGCAGCTGGGCCTGGAGACCGCCAAACCCAGGCGGGGGACTGGTTCCCGAGTGGACGGCTGTGGTGCCCTCCCCACCCTCCCCGCCCGTCTCTCCTCTTCCTCTCGTTTACTTTCTTTTGGAGAGTGGGGTTCACAGACAGCAGCCCAGGTTTCAGGGGTACGGTGTAGTGATGAGCATGGCTTAGGGGGTGATCACCGCGGTGCGTCGGTCACTGTCGTTATCACCATACTGACCCTGCTCCCCGAGACTTACCTATGTAATAACGGGGTTTGTACCTCTAACGAATGACCTCCTTTCCGGGTGCCCAGCCCAGCAGCTCACCGGCCACGGGCCGAGCCGTAATGTTCCTCTGCCTTCCGGGCCCAGGTCCCCCGGCTGCCCCCCAAGACATCACCGTCCAAGCTGGGGCCACCCCAGCGACCGTCCACGTCTCCTGGAAGCCGCCCGCCCTGACCCCCACGGGGCTGTCCAACGGGGCCGCTGTCACAGGCTACCGCGTGTGTGCGGAAGGGCAGAGGGTGAGTCGCTCGCTGGGGCGGGAGGCGCACCCAGCGTGGCGGACACCTGCTCCGTGGAGGGGCGGCCCCTGGGAGCACCCCCCAACCCACCAGCACTTAATACACACCGCCCCCCAGCCACCCCAGGGCGCCGCAGGGCACCGAGCCCCCACTTCTGCCCCGGCCCCCTTCCCAGAATTCCCGCTGCTCCACACCCTTCTCCTTCTCCTGCCCCCCGGGATGAAAAGTCCACCTGTCTCGAGCTCCCCAATGTCCCCGATGGGTGTCGGGCCTGCGAATCCCCCACCAGACCCTTGGCCGGATGGAGTGCCTGCTCCCTGGAAGCACGAGCGTCCCCACGCGCACGCGCGGTCAGGCCTTGGCGGCCACGGGGTGTCGGGAGCCCGCGGCCCGGCCCCGCCCGTCCTGGTGCGCCAGTCGAGCTCGCTGCCTTTGGGGTGGGAGCTGCCGTGTGGTCCCCTCCTGCCAGTTTGCCCTGCGCGGCTGACCTGCGGGCGGCGTGAGTGTCTGAGCTCCCCCAGCCGCTCTGCGAGCTCGGCCCTGCCCCTGCCTGACCGTCCGCTCCCCGACCAGGCAGGCCCGCCTGTCTCCACCGGGCGGGAAGCCCGTCCTGCCTCAGCCTGGCCCTTCGTCCTGCCCCGCTTTGGCCACCAAGGACCTCGTGTCCCCACCCCTCTGGGCCTCTGTCTCTGAATTGGCTTTGACCCGGAAGCCTTTCCTTCCACGTAATGGGCCCCGAGCAGCAGGGGCCTGGCGTCTGCAGACCTCCGGGGTCCCCTCTCGAGACTCAGACGCCCAGGCTGCGCGGCAGTTAGCTGGACGTGCTGGGCCTCGAGGGGGTCCGAGGCGCACCCGCTCGGGCGCAGGGACTGGCGGGCGCTGGGCAGCCTGAGAGTGGGCTTTCTCTGCGGCAGGTGGCAGAGGTGATGGCCCCCACGGCGGACGGCACGGCCGTGGAGCTGGCGCGGCTGCGGAGCCTGGAAGCCAAGGGTGTGACCGTGCGGACCCTGTCTGTCCAGGGCGAGTCCGCGGACTCTGCCATCGCTGCCATCCCCCCCGACCTCCTGGTGCCTCCAGCCCCCCCGCGCACCCCCACACCGAAGCCATTAGCAAGTGCCGGAGCCCCCGATACCAAAGATGACCGCCTGGGTCCCCACGTCAAGGTGGACGAGGCCTGGGAGCAGGGCCGGGCGCCTTCCCACGGGCACTTGCTGGAGCTGCCCGGCCTGCCCGCGAGGCGGTCACCTTCACCCAGCAGGGTCCTGCCGCAGCCGCAGGGGGCCCCGGTGTCCACCTCCGTCGCCAAGGCCATGGCCCGGGAAGCCGCGCAGAGAGTGGCCGAGAGCAGCGGGGTAAGGCTGGCCCCGCGCTGGGGCCCCTGCTGCCGGGCGCACGGACCCTCACGCAGACGCTCCCTTGGGGCAGCGTTTAGGCCTGATCCTGACGGAATCAGAAGGTGCTCTTATGTGGTGAGCGTGGCCCTCAGCACCCAGAGGCAGTTGGTGGTCTACCAGCCCGGCTTAGAAAACGGCTGTGGCCACCCCCAGCCAGGCTCTGGTCCGTGTCCAGGTCAGCCTGGGGACCATCTTCCTAGAGGGGCACCCCTTCGGGCCCTGCTCACCTCTGAGTTCTCACTGTGTGTGCGCAGAGAGAGACACAGGCAGACGTGTTCACACGCATGTAAACATGATGCAGAAGCCCACGCGTACGTTTGTGTGGCTGTTACTAGGACTCGTCTGGGCCGTGGGGCAGGGAGCGTGGGCTGCACCCAGCTCCGCGTGCTAGGGGACGAGGAGGTCAGCCTGGGGCTCCAGGACAGTGACGCCGGCAGCCCTTGTTTGTTTCAGTGCCAGGAGACCCCCACTCCTGGGAGGGGTCAGAGCCGAGAGGCAGGCCGCGTCCAGGACACCGGGGCAGGAGGGCTACCGTGACAGCCCTTCAGCTTCTCGAAGGCCTGCGGCCAGGCTCTCGGGCGCGACTTCTGACTTGTTAGGTGTTGGCCTCTGCCGCGTGAACACCAGCCCATGGCCTCAGCCGAAGGGAAGACTTTAGAATGACCGAGTTTGTCACGGGCCACACCCTCCACCCCGACAGCTCACAGAGCAGGGCCGGACCGCAGTGCTCGGAGCTGACGGCACTCTGTGGGCAGAAGGCCTGGTGGGTGGCCCTGCCTGCACCCTGCCACCCGAGACCCCACGCAACACCCTGAGCGGCCGCAGGCAGAGACGGGGCCCAGAGACGCCTGGCGCTGCCGCGTCCCGGCCAGCCCCCGCTGGCAGCAGGTGTGGCAAGAGCAAGCCCGGAGCTTCCGTTCTCCAGGACGCGCTAAGCGATCACAGGAAGAGCCAGGCTCTTCTCCACAGGCAGCCTCCAGTCGAGTCCAGGCCTCGTGCAGTGAGCGTGGGCGGCCTGTGTCACCGCCTGGGCGGCCTCAGAAGCCCACCGGGAGCCAGAGCGGTTTCCGGTCCCGGGCCCTCCAGGCAGCGGCCTGTCTGCCAGCCCCGTCCCGACGCCCCCGCTCACCCACCTCTCTCCTCTCCTTCCAAGTTAGAGAAAAGGAGCATCTTCCTGGACAGGAGCCGGCACTACGCCAACTCCGACGAGGAGGACGGCTACGAGTCCCCGGACGTCAGGAGGAGGGGCGCGTCGGTGGACGACTTTCTGAAGGGCTCGGAGCTCGGCAAGCCGGTGAGTGCCGGGCCTGCAGCCGGGCAGCTCCTCTCGCCACCGCCTGCCCAGGCCTCGGGCGGTCAGACCCCCGTCCCCCAGAAAGATGGTCTCTAGGGGCCTGCTCCCTCTGGGCTCTCAGCTCCGACCATGTGGACGCCGAGGCCCCGGCGCCTCCCGCACAGACACTGAGTCAGTGGGGAAGGGAGGGAACGGGAGGATGCTCACCCTCACCCCTCCCGCCCAGCCGCACTGTTGCCATGGAGACGAGTACCACACAGAGAGCAGCCGGGGCTCGGACCTGTCGGACATCATGGAGGAGGACGAGGAGGAGCTGTGTTCTGAGATGCAGCTGGAGGGCGGGGGCCGGCGGAGGCCCAGTGGCACGTCCCACCGCGCCCTCAAGGTCAGTGCCCCGCCAGGTCCTCCCCACCGGCCCCCGGAAGCCCATCGGTTTGAATAGGCTTCCTTCTCACCGTTGAATTTGCATCCGGGAATCCCCATCCTTCCTTCTGGTCCGTCCTCTCTGCCAAAAGTCTGGGTGCAGGAGTTTGGGGGAACCGTCTGGCCCCCTCCTGGGGCACCCAGCTCAGCCAGGCCGCACACTCCACACCCACCTACGTGCTCGTCCCCAGAGAATCAGCGGCCCGGGAGCAGGGCTCTCCCGAGTCAGAACTGGGGCTGGGACAGGCGGGGCTGGCTGGGGGTTTCGGGATGGTCCCACCACTGAGCTGGGCCCTGCAGGAGGGTGAGGAGGGATGGATGCCCTGGGGGACAGTGGGGTGCACACACGAGCCCCTTCTTGGACCACTCCTACCAGAGTCCAGTCCTCAGTGTCCCCTGGTGTGGCTGCCAATAGAGGGTGTGACGGGAGGCATGTGCCTGGACTGAGCCCCGTCCTGGCCTGGGGCACCGCTCAGAATCCGCGGGCTGTCACCTCCCGGCACCAGGCTGTGATGTGAGCGTGGACGTGACCCCTGCCCTCTGGCCCTGCCCGACCTAAAGTGGCGACAGACTGGAGGCTGGACAGCTGGCCGGACCCTGTGGGCTTTCCGATGGATAGACTGTGGAGAGGGACGGGCGCTGGGGGAAGAGCCAGCGCCATCTTCTCCAGGGGCTGAGCCATGCGTTTCGCGTGGTGGGGAAGGCAACACCACATCTGGCTGCCAGCCCAGGGCCCCCGCACAGAGGGCTGACTGGTGCTCTGCATGCCAGGCCCCTCTGCAGACCCCCGGCTGCAGCTCCCGCTGCCCTCGCTGGCTCCTCACCCGCCCAGCAGGATTCGGGACCTTTCTAGTGGGGGAAGGTCACAAGCTGCCCCGGGGGTCCGGTCTCTGATCTCCCCCAGGACGCCCCAGTGCTCATAGCTGGGCCAGGGGAAGCACCCGTCAGTGTTCCTGCTGTCCAGGCTGCTGCTCCCTCTGGTGGAGGAGGCTCCTGGGACGGTACTTCCTGAGAACTGTTGAGAAAGCCATGAAAAGTCACCTTCTCTCCCAGGGCAGAGGCCCAGAGGGGAAGCAAGGTTGTTGTAAAACCCAATGGCCACATGGCACCCCCACATCACGGCCCCACCCCCTTGGGAACAGCCGAGCAGGACATAACAGCTGGCAGGAAGTAGACCTGAGGCTGTGGCAGGAAGTGGCCCGAGGCTGTGGCAGGAAGTAGGCCCGAGGACATGGCAGGAAGTGGCCTGAGGCTGTGGCAGGAGGCCCGAGGACATGGCAGGAAGTGGCCCCGAGGACATGGCAGGAAGTGGCCCCGAGGTCATGGCAGGAAGTGGGCCCAAGGAAATGGCAGGAAGTGGCCTGAGGCTGTGGCAGGAAGTGGCCCCGAGGATGTGGCAGGAAGTGGCCCAAGGACGTGGCAGGAAGTAGGCCCGAGGCCGTGGCAGGAAGTGGCCCAAGGCCATGGCAGGAAGTGGACCCAAGGAAATGGCAGAAAGTGGGCCCGAGGATGTGGTAGGAAGTGGGCCTGAGGCTGTGGCAGGAAGTGGCCTGAGGCTGTGGCAGGAAGTGGCCCGAGGCCGTGGCAGGAAGTAGGCCCGAGGACGTGGCAGGAAGTGGCCTGAGGCTGTGGCAGGAAGTGGGGTGGCTGACAGCTGCAGAGTCACTGTAGTCTGTCCACAGCCTTCTCACATTTTTAAAAATCAGGAGATGTCTCAGACTGACCTGGCATCTGGCTTCTCTAGAACTTCCAAGACAGGGTTTGGGACCTGGTGCCCTGAGCTCGCTGAGCTGCAGCGGAGCCGACTCCCGGCTGGAGTGGTCCAGTCGCCCGCATGGTCCCTGCTGGCCCTGGGACGCTCCCGCGTGGACCCCTGCACTCACCATGGTGCTTTTCACCATAATGTTCCCAGAATTGATGCCCTTGCCGTCCTGTTGGCCCCCGAGGTGTGTTCTTAGCAGCCAGGGCGTGTGCCCACTCACCTGACACTCACCTGCCCACTCACCTGCCCACTCACCTGCTCACTCACCTGCTCACCTGACACTCCATGGACCCACACCCTTGGCAGAAGCCGCAGCAGGTGACCCTGCCACACTGTGTGCTCACAGAGCTTGAAGGCCAGCGTGGAGACAGGCAGGACACAGATCATGATGTTCCCACGCAGTCTGTCCGACAAACACCCGGCAGGCCGGGGAGGGAGAGCCGGGGCTGCCCGGCTTGGAGGGTCAGTCTTCCCGAGGCAGGGGCGCCCCGCGGGGCCTATCAGCGCAGCTGGGAGGACAGTCCAGGCAGGTTGTGCAGACGCCCAGCTTGGGACCAGGACAGGGCTGTCCACCTGGGCCTCGAAGTCCAGGACCTGGAGGGGGTCAGGCAGACCCCCAAGCCTTTGCAGACACTTCTGGGCAAGACTGTGAGCAGGTGCTGGTCCCCGAGCGAGGCCCGGTGCCAAGTGACAAGGCCCCGTCTCACACTTAGAAGACATGGAAAACGGGAGAGGGGTTCAGCTGAGTGCCAGGGAGAGAAGGAGGGTGGGCGGGAACTGCTCTGCGGCTTGGCTCAGTCACGCCCGGCAGCCAGCGGCAGCTGCCCTGCGGTGGTGGGCACGGCCAGCTGGCAGAGGGCTCCCATCTCCCGGCGCTCTGGGCACAGCCGGCTCCCAGAACCAAGCAGCTTGGCCCGCGGGCAGCATCCTGCCTCCGCTGCCCGGTGCACCCCGGCTCCACCCACTTCCCTGGCTCAGCTGCATGGTCTGGCCTGGCCCCTGCTGCTCTGCCCAGTGCCACCCTCTCCCGGCTCCGCCCTCATCTGCGCCCCGCCCCACCCCGCCCCGCCGCATGCTCGCCCCTCCTGGCCTCCGAGACTAACGCTGTCTGTGTTCTCTCCCGCGCCCACTTCACGTCTGCTCGCACACCGCTGCCGCGCCCCCTAGGAGTGCTATGAGCAGAGGAGCTCCGAGGGGCCTTCCCCGGAGCAGCCCGAGGGCCCCCCGCAGGCCCCGCACAGCACGAGACTGTTCAGTATCCCCGAAGTAGCCGAGGAGGACCCAGAGCACAGACAGGGCTCAGCGTGCTCGCCCGGGGCCCGGGAGCCCAGGCCCGGCAGGCGCTGCTGGGGGAGCGAGGCCCCGCGGGGCTCCTGGTTCCCCTCGAAACCCAGGGGCCCCGCAGCTGGCTCCCACGCTGAGGACTTCCTTCTCGAAGACAGGGGCTGCCGGTTCAGCCCAGACAGCGGACTGGACTGTGGGAGTGAGGAGGAGGACCCACGATTTAGTTTCAGAAACACGGCGGCCACGGGCAGCCCCAGCCCCGGGCTGTGTCCCTGTCGGAGCCTGAGGCCCCTGCTGGCCCGGCGGCGGACGCTGACCCGGCAGAGCAGCATCGAAGAGGACTTTGGGGAGCAGGTGGACCCCGGCCTTGTCATCAGGAGCGAGGACGCCCGCCCGAGCCCGGAGAGGTCCGCCCCCAGGAAGTATGGCTGGGACCAGCCCGTGGGTCCCGACGTCTGGAAGAAAAGCATAAACACGCCCCCCAGTAGGGCGACCACCCAACACACACAGGCGTCTCCCCGAGTGGCCGAAGGCCCCGTGGTGTGTGACGTGAGCCCTCCTCACCTGCGCTTGCCAGACCAATCCGTCTGCACCTTCGTTTGACCTCTTATGTTGGCGCCTCCCTGGGACTCGGCTGCTGCCCGTTTTCCATGCGGTTTTGATTTACTGGCCCATCGCTTCCCGATCCGTTGACCCTGCTGAGGATCTCTTTCTTTTGCTTTTGAGTAACGATTCTCCCCCACCCCCCCCAATCAGCGATGATTCTGGCTGCTTTGGTTAAAGGGCAACTGAATCTAAATTTTAATTAAGGGTTAGCTGAACGGTGACAGCACTTCCTCTCTCTGAGTGAAGGTGGGGACAGGTTCAGAGCAGGGTGTCGTGCGGAAGGTCGGCTCGTGCTGTGGGTGTGGGTCCCGTGGCGGTCGTTGTGTGGCCTCCGTCCGCGACTGAGCAGAGACAATGGCGATTGTCCAGGAGTTCATGTTTGCACGTGGTTTACCAAGGGCTCCTCCCCGAAATCCGGCTCCCAGAATGAATTTCCATCATCAGTTCTAGACCCCCTGCCTGGTCGTCCAGGCTTGTTAGTGGTGGTCAGGCTCGTCCCTCATCTGTATGTCGTGTCCTCTCCCCAGAGCACGTGCTCCTGTCACGCCTGCCTTTCCAATGACCGCTCCCGTGAGACCTCAGGTGGGCCTGGCCGGGGCTCTGAGCCCATGCAGTTTGCTCTCTGTCCACAAGGGGGCACCGATCCACACCCCACACTTCACCCTGGGCGGTGGCCTGGGCCCCGCCAGTAACAAGCCCTCTGTCACTGGAATGCGGAAGCCTTGCTCCTTTCCTGGGTCCCCGAGAACGTCTGGCTCAAACTACTTACCAGGGTCTGGAGACTTTGCCTGGATCCTCTGACACGATGCTAACCTTTAGTGCGTGTAGGGGCGCAGGTCCATGCAGGTCGCCATCCAGGGGAGCCCCAAATGGGACCGGTATCTTCCGAGCCAGGATGTCGCCTTGAGTTTCCCAGAACTTCTGTCCTTGACCTCGCAGACGATTTGTCTCAGCGGGACACCAGGCCACGCGGCACCGTCCCACTTCTGTGGTCGCTGGAGGGGGGCCTGTAGCTCAGGGTTGTACAAGCTCAAAGGGGCCGTTGGGACCATGAGTCGCATCAAAGCCCTTCTCCCTTCGGGTCCACACATCTGGCTTCTGCAGTAATACAAAGATGCCCCCTGAGGAATTCTTCCCTTCCCCCGGCCCCCCCGCCACCCTCCCACCCGGGGAGTCGAAAAGCCACTCCGCTGTGGAAGTCGGGGTGCCCGGGATGAGCGGCTGGCGTGGGTGGCGTTGTCTTCCAGGTCATTCAGCTAACCTTTCAGTTAAAAGCTAAGTTTAGTTGCCTTTATAGCTTCTGCTTCTAAGCTGGATTGATTTGGCTGACTTAATTCCTTCATTCTTGTGGCCCCAGGGCTGGCAAGACTTATGACTTTGCTGTTTTGTCTTCAGATTTTAGGGAACCCAGCGGCTGCAGCACGGGCCAACAGGGCAGATCACGGGGGCCGGAGGTTTCCCCACGGAGGCGCTGGTCCTCAGAGGTCCCGGCCCGCGGCGGTCCGGTCCATCGGTTAGTGGGCCTGCTTGACACCATTGTCTTCTTTCAAACACCGGGCACATGGCGGCTTAGTCTTCAATCCAAACGTTTTTAAAAAATGATCGGGAGTAACATTTTCTTTTTAAATTTTTTTTCTTTATTGACTTTAGAGAGAGAGGAAGGTAGAGGGAAAGAGAGAGAGAAACATTGATGAAAGAGAACATCGATCGGCTGCCTCCTGCACACCCCCCACTGGGGATCGGGCCCACAACCTGGGCATGTGCCCTGAATGGGAATTGAACTGGTGACCTCTTGGTGCAGGGTCGACGCTCAACCCCTGAGCCACACCAGCCGGGCTCGGGACTGGCATTTTCATCCTAATACAGAAAACTCTCCGTTAGTTGTGGCTCAGAAACAGCACAAGATAAATAAAGCCCGTTTGTAAGTACTCTCACATGGAAAGGTGCTGTTAGATTTCCCAGAAAACGAAGGTGAAGTGTGCCCAGCGGCCGCCGAGAAGGCGGCGGCAGCTGTTTAGATGACACTGGAAACGAGGAAGGCGCCAGTCTTGCCATTTGTTACAAACAAAACCGAAGTCCTGTGCGGCGGCGGAAAGGCCGCTGTGTTCGCTGGGTGGCCTCGCCGAAGGCAGGCGGCTGAACGTTCGGCTGAGCTAGGCACCCAAAAAGGTCCCGAGTTCTAATAATGCAAACAGCTCACCGCGTTGGAAGCATCGACCTTTCCCACAACCGAGGTGCTTTTTCTTTTTCAACTAAATGTTGCTGCTGGCAGAAGCCAGTGGCTCGGTTGTCTCTGTCATCTGTCCTTCCTCACATTTGTGACACCCTGCCGTCCCACCTCGTGGGCTCTGCGCTGGTGACCGAGCTCTGGCTGCTTCACCCGCCTGCCCCCTCTTGTGAGGATGGACGCTCGTCCTCAGGTCCTTCCTCCATCAAACCCCAGGACCGGCCAGCAGATGGCCCTTGCGCTCTCTGCCCCAGCTCTCTGCTGGTGCCGTGCACACTCATCCAGGTGGTGGTCACATGGTGCGTTCGACAGCGATGTTTAACGTCTAGGCGCAGACACCAGGATTTCAGAGAGTCGTTGCTGGCCGCTCGCACTGGGTGGAGGCCACTCATTCGCACTGAGGGAGAATGCAGCCCTTGCCATTCAGATATTTAGAACGTACAAATGCATTCGAGGAGCCCGGTGCAGACAGGTCTGGGCGCCTGTGACCGCTGAATGGCCTGCCAGGTGCGGCCCAGGGACGGCCCAGCAGCTGGCGCTCAGGCTGCCCTGAGGCAGGTCGCTCCGCCCTTTGTGTCCTGGGCTGGCTACACTCAGACCGAAGCTGGTAGGGGTCTGCTCGGCGCACCCACCTGGTGGAGATGACCCATCTCTGCCCACACGTCACACTGCATGTTTTTTCCAGGGGGCAAAGTGCGTGTGCCTGGGTCCCCAGGGCACCAGCGGGATGACCCAGCTCTGTCCTTGTGCCTCCTGCTCCCAGATGAATATGGCGACCGAGACCGACTGTCCCCGGACTTCTACGAGGAGTCTGAGACCGACCCTGGCGCTGAGGAGCCCCCGGCCCGCATCTTTGTGGCCCTGTTCGACTACGACCCGCTGAGCATGTCCCCGAACCCCGACGCTGCAGAGGAGGAGCTGCCCTTCAAGGAAGGACAGATCATCAAGGTGGGGACGTGGGCGGTGCTGCGGAGGGGCTCAGCAGCACGGGCCAGGAGGGACGCGCGGCACCCGGTGGCCGTGGGGGTCGCGACAGTTGTCTTGCCGACAGCGCCACGGGGTCCTACATGAAGTGTCCTGGGCAGTCCAGACGGCTGACTGTGGACCAGCCGCTCCCGCTCCCCCATGGTCCCCGGCCATCCACGCGGTGGGGGTGGGGTGTCCCATCATGCACCTCCCACGGCGCGATGTCAAACCCGCATGCAGGCAGCCCAGCAGGTGTCCCGGCCTGGCCTTAGGGCTGTGCCCTCGCGGGCCACTGGAGGCCCCGACGCCACCCGCTGTTGGCTGCCCGTCCTGAATGCACAGGGACACGGGACAGGACCGTGGAAAGCAGGGTGCCCTGTTTCCTAGCTGGCCAATCACCGCACTGTAAGCGGGTGACTTATTCTGTGCCAGCCAATCACCGCACTGTAAGCAGGTGACTTATTCTGAGCCAGCCAATCACTGCATTGTAAGCAGGTGGTGTACTTTGAGCCAGCCAATCACTGCATTGTAAGCAGGTGGTGTACTTTGAGCCAGCCAATCACTGCACTGTAAGCAGGGTGCCGTATTCTGTGCCAGCCAATCACTGCACTCTAAGCAGGGTGACAGGCATTCTGAGCCAGCCAATCACTGCACTGTAAGCCGGTGACTTATTCTGAGGCAGCCAATCACCGCACTGTACGTGTGTGACATATTCTGAGCCTGCCACTCACAAGGCCTCGGTTTCTTCCCGCGCCCCAGGTTTACGGTGATAAGGACGCCGACGGCTTCTACCGCGGGGAGACCTGTGCCCGGCTCGGCCTCATTCCCTGCAACATGGTCTCGGAGATCCACGCCGACGACCAGGAGATGATGGACCAGCTGCTCAGACAAGGCTTCCTCCCCCTCAACACACCTGTGGAGAAAATAGGTAAGGGGCCACCTGCTCGGCCGGACCGCGGGACTGTGCTGGGCGCGCCCCGGAGGGCAGCTGGGGCCCAGCCCCGCGCCCGTGGCAGGGGAGCCTGACCACGACCCATCGCTGTGCTCCGGCCGACGCTGCGCCCAGCGCCGGCGAGAGGCCGCGTGCTCTAGGGACACTCTGTTCGCTGCCGTCTGCCACCCCTAGAAAAGAGACGCCTGTGCTGCTGCTGTTAAAAACTGATTTGCGAGCGAGAGAAACAGTTGGTTTGTCGGTCCACTTACGCGTTCATTGGTTGCTTCCTATGTGCCCTGACCAGAGATCCGACCTGCAACCTTGGTGTAGCAGGACGATGGTCTGACCCGCTGAGCTACCGGCCAGGGCAACCCTGCTCCCCGGTGGATCTGGACTGCACGTCTGTCCCTCCCGCCACCCCCACCCACTCCCCACCCTCTTACACTGAGAGCCCAACTCCAGGGCAGTTGTTAGGAGGGGAGAAGAGTGGGAGGTGATGAGGTCATGAGAGTGGGGCCCCCAGGGTGGAATGAATGCCCCCATACAATGCACCCCAGAGCGTACCCCTGTGTCATGTGGGGACACAGCGAGGAAACTGTCCACAGTGAACTCTGCAAAACACTCAGTACCGGCCAGCAACTCAGAGCGATGGAAACGGTCCACGCGGCAAACCCCGGTACTGGAAACAACCCGAGTGTCTTTGACGGAAAAGGGACATAACAACCCTGGTGCATCCGCACGGTGCTCACTAGCGAGAGAGAACCAGGGGTGGACAGAACCCATGACGGACGGTCTCGGGTGCACTGTCCAGAGGACAGGCCTGTCTTTCTAGCCGCATGCCGCGTGGTCCCAGACAGTGTGGTGGAGGAGGCAGGCATGTTGGGACAGAAGACAGGTCACTCGCCACCTGGGCTGGAGGGGACGATGCAGGGGCGTGGCAGACTGGACGGAGGCCATGGTGGTGCTGTGACCCGATGAGCTGACTGAAACCAGAAGGAGGGGGCTGTGATGGGTTCCATCTCCGGAGACAGCACGTGGACTGTCCTTGTCGCCTCAGGTTCACAGGGATGTCCCCTGTGAACCAGCACCTCGGAGCGCTGACATCACCCCTGCAACATGTATATTTTGTTCTGAGGAAGCAGAATCCCCAGGTCCTACAAAGGTGTGTTTGCGTGTTCTGAATGAAAGCAAGACCTAGCAACAGGATGCCCAGGCGACTGGCCCCGGGCAGAACTGCTGCCAGTGCCCGTGACCTGAGACCTGGTCACTCGCCAGTTGCTGTTCAGCAGTAACGTCACGGGGGCTTTCTCCCCTGTGCTCAGCAGAGAGGGGCAGGAGGAGCGGGAGGCAGCACTCGGTGCCCACGCGCAGGATGGTGGCCCTGTACGACTACGACCCAAGGGAGAGCTCGCCCAACATCGACGTGGAGGTACGGCGGCTCTGCCAGCTCTGTCCCTTGCTTCCTCACCCCACTGAAGGGGTAGGCTCGCATCAGCACCATAAGGAAAAGGATCATCACGAAGAACCTTCCTGAGAAAACGGCTTGGTGTGGGAGCGGGGGGCTCACCCCACGTTCTCTCCCCCAGGCGGAGCTCACCTTTTGCACAGGAGACATCATCTCTGTTTTTGGCGACATCGACGAGGATGGGTTTTACTATGTAAGTTTTTGAAGCAGCAAGATGTACTTTTCCTTCCTGGGATGTCCGGTCTGTGCTGTCCCCCCCCACCCCCCTCCGCGGGCGCGCTGGGTCATGGGGTGGCGGTACCGGGACTTGAGGAGCTGCCGGCTGGTCTCCCACAGCAGCTGCACCAGGGCTCCAGGTCCTCCTCCTGTGCCAGCGCTGGTTTCTGCCTGTGGCTGTTTTGTTTTGTTTTGGGGAGCAGCCGCCACAGCAGCGGTGAGGCGCGGCCGTGGCTTTGGCTGCAGTTCCCTAAGGGTTATGAGGTTGGCGGAGCATCTTTCCACGGGTGTGCACGCCTTTCTGGAGAAGCATCTTTGCGTCCTGTGCCTCTTTTTCATCGGGTTGTGTTTGGTTGAGGTGCAGGTCTCCTTCAGCTGGTGTGGGGGTGCCCCCGCGGGACCCCTCCCCTTGGTGCCCGTGTGCTGGGCAGTTCTAAGCCTGGTGCAGGAGGGTCCTGTTTCAGGCCCTGTCTCCCAGGCCTGTGAACAGAGAAAAGACTCCCACGGGGGCCTGGGGCAGCCAACCTGGGCCTTGGTTTTGGGCACTTGTGGGGCAGGTTGGCACTGGGGGGAGGGAAGAAATGACACAGGGGACTGTGACCACCTTGGTCCAGATGGTGGCTGGACCTGCGGACCGTCACCTCCCGAGACATGAGACTGGGTAGAAAGGCCTGGAGGATGTGTAGCAGCCTGAGGCGGTGGCCTCTGCGTCACTTTGGTTGCCCCTCAGTGCCCGAGTTTCTACAGTGAGAATGCGCGTAAGGGGGCGCCCACGCCTGGCTGAGTGGACCCCCACGCTCGGCCCTGCCGCAGGTCACCTCGCCCACCTGTTCTCTACCCTGCCCCCACCTCGAGATGGACTGAGTGTCCGGGTGGGTGTCCTGGGTTCGGAGGACTCAGAGCTGAGACCCCCGGGAGAGGCTGCACCGGTGCCTGGTGCCGAGAACCGCCCACGCCCCACGGCAAATCAGATGCCTCGGCTCTGCCCTACCAGCCAAATCACGGGGGTCGCCGAGGTCACGATGACTATCGCGGTAGTTTGCGGACGCTGGAGCCCCTTTGGGTTCTATGCTCTGAACCAAACGGAGCCCGCAGGCCGCTGGCCTCTGGGCTGGTCCTCGGCCGAGGGCGGCGAGGGTTCTGTGGGAAGGGAGGGTTCCCTCACTGCCTGCCCGTGCTTCCAGGGGGAGCTCAACGGGCAGAAAGGCCTCGTGCCTTCGAACTTCCTGGAAGAAGTGCCTGACGACGTGGAGGTGTACCTCTCCGACGCCCCGTCGCACGGCGCCCAGGACGCGCCTGCGCGGTCCAAGGCCAAACGGGTAAGCAGCGCCCCCGGCGCGCCCAGGGTCCCTGCCACCCACGCGCTCATAGTCTTTGTTATTTTCACGTCTTGGGCCGAAAGCATACACCCCGAGTCTGCCCTCCACCCTTCCATGGGGGTCGTGCCCAAAAGCGCTTACTTCTGACTTGAGTTTATTTCACAAAAAAATGACCCTCTGGAGGCTCAGCGACCCACCTTGACTCGCGAGGGGACGCCCCGCCCCCGGCAGACGCTCTGACGGCCGGGGCGAGGGGCTGGCGGGCCTTAGACGCCAGGGCGGCAGCGGAGACCCGCCCTGAGCTCCGCGGGCGCATCTGACTAGCAGATGACAGTCATGTTAGTGTCTCATTTTTATTTTACTTCATCACTGCGAGTTTTTATATATTATATTTTTATATATATATTTTTATTTCTTTGCTCATCTGCTTGGAAACAGAAGAAGAGTGTTCATTTCACACCTTAATCAGGCAATGTAGCCTTCACGTAAGTGAGCAACCGGAGATACCTGTCACATGCCCACCAAGCTACCTTGCCGGCTAGCGCGGTAGACTTGACGTGCACTGCGGGAGAGAGAGAGAGGTCTGGTCTCGGAAAAGCACCGAGAGCCAGGGCGCCGCTCGGTCTGGTGGCGCAGCCGAGCCGGTGAGACCCGCCCTCTCCTGCCCGGTTCCTCCTGCTCCCGGGAAGGACACCCGGGAGGCCGACATCGGGAACCTATTTCTCGAGGCTGGCTGTCTGTCTGCGTAGCGTCCCAATGTCGACTCGTAGCGGAAGCTGCGTATTGCATTGCTAGACACTCTGGAAAAGCACAACCTCTATGTTTACCAGATTTCCTTCCAAACGCTCGGGGAGATCAGGCGGCCGGCAGGGAGCAGGGCCCTCGGTCCGCTCCCGCTGCCCGAGCTGGCCCGCGGACCGCGTGTCCCCGCCAGTCCCCAGACCTCCACCCAGTGCGCTCAGCCTCCCCGGCGGAGACGCGGGGCAGGCGGGCTGGTGGCCTACCAATGCAATACTAAGTCCCCCGGGACGCAGCTCCAGTGCTGCCTTAGTGGAGGCCATGGTATCTTCAGGTGACTTTGGGGTGCTTGAGGTGTTTCCATTAGTTAGACCTTGATTTTAAATCCAAGCAAGCTTGAAGCCCCTTGGCTGGCGCCCTTCGCCTGCGGAGCCCTGCACCCCCGCCAGGAGGCGCCTGCTCTGGCGAGGTCAGGCAGGGGAGCGGGCCCACGTCTCGGAGGCGGCAGGCCCCACGTGAGCTCAGCCGCTCCCACGTGGTCGTGGAGACGCTGGGACCTGACCGCGTGCGCGCGACGCCTCCCGTGGGTTACGCGCTAGCCCCGCACTCACTAAGGGCCTCGAGGCTTCCTTTGATTGCAATTAAGGTTCATTTCAGTTTTTTGTTTTTGTTTTTTCTTTCAACCGGTGTGCCATCTCCAATGTTTCTAACCCAGGAACGCACTCGACCACACCAGGGTTCCTACACCCAGGTGGCTTTCAAAGGCAACAAAACCCCTTTCAGAACGTCCGCCATTACTGACGGGCCCTCGGCCAGTGTTACTGTCCGTGTGGAGTAGCGCCCGCCCCACCCCCGCTTCTGGTCTGAGGGCAAAGCGGGACTCCCAGCTGCCCCGTGGCCCGGGGTGGGGGGCGGGGCGTGCTGCCCACGCACTTGAACCCTTGAAAGAACCAAGATCACCCTCCCCTCTCCCTGTGCGGGGGCCGGGCGTGCGACGCGGCCGCGTGGCTTGGTGTGTTGGCGCTGACACTCAACCAACTGTCACACTGTACCTACTAGGTTCCTCCTGAGGGGTCAGGTACAGCAAGGAGCGCGCCATCCCCCACAGCCCATCTCCATTCGGGGTCACCTGCGTCATCTGTGGGTACTGGGAGTCCTGGGAGAGGCGGGGAAATGTCCTCGAAAAAGAAAAAGGGGCTGCTTTTCAAAGGCAAGAGGCTGCTGAAAAAGCTGGGCGCCGTCAAGTGAGGCGGCGCTGCGAGGCCTCCAGCCGGCAGCTCCCGCTGCGCACCGGGCCCCCAGGACCGCCCGCCCTGACCGCGGAGCCGCCGCGGCGCCACCGAGCACCTGCGGCGCGGAACTGGCACCTGCGCCCGGCTCGTCCGGGCGGCTCTCACTGCCCAGGCCCCAGGGGAGGGCCCCGCCGGGAGGGCCAGGGCTGGGCAGCTCCCCGGGGACCCCAGTCTCCGAGCACATGTGGCCCCCCCAGAGTGCCCACCCCCACTGCATCCCCGCCCCCTCACTCTGGTCTCGAGACCCTCGTGGAGTCGCCTTGTTCTGCCTTACTGCGGCACGTGGTCTGTACTTTCCAATAAAGCTCCGCTGTCCACTCGTCCGTGTGGTGTCCAGTGCGCTCCACCCTGCACACAGGCAGGCTGTCGGCCTCGGCCGGGCCGTCCCTTCCCAGACCCTGGTGTTGCACCTTTCAGAGCGATCGGCAGGAACGTTTCCTCGTTCAACCCCCAAAGCAGGAGGCAGAGTTGCTGTGTGGCCACCTGCCAGGAAGCAGACCTCCCCCCCAACCCCGTCCTTCTGGGGCACACCCCCTTCTGCTCCTTCGTTCTTCCCCAAAATGCCACAGACACGAGCAGCAACAGCACACAAAAAGCCATCCCCGCCCCACACAGGCCACGGCACAGCCCACTGTCGGTCCAGATGCCCCGCCCTCCCCACTGGCACTCGCGGGGGCGCGTCCAATGGTCACTGCTCTGTAATTCTTGTCCACTGTGAAGTGTTTTTACTCTTTATGCAGACTTTCAGGCTGCCTTTCTTGTGTGCTCATGGAGGTGTAAATGACAGGGCTGCCCACTCCTCCTGTACCCGTGGAGGTGTACATGGACGGGGCTCCCCACTCCTTCTGTACCCGTGGAGGTGTACATGGACGGGGCTCCCCACTCCTTCTGTACCCGTGGAGGTGTACGTGGACGGGGCTCCCCACTCCTGTACCTGTGGAGGTGTACGTGGATGGGGCTCCCCACTCCTTCTGTACCCGTGAAGGTGTACGTGGACGGGGCTCCCCACTCCTTCTGTACCCGTGGAGGTGTACATGGACGGGGCTCCCCACTCCTTCTGTACCCGTGGAGGTGTACGTGGACGGGGCTCCCCACTCCTGTACCTGTGGAGGTGTACGTGGATGGGGCTCCCCACTCCTTCTGTACCCGTGAAGGTGTACGTGGACGGGGCTCCCCACTCCTTCTGTACCCGTGGAGGTGTACGTGGACGGGGCTCCCCACTCCTTCTGTACCCGTGGAGGTGTACGTGGACAGGGCTCCCCACTGTCTCCAGCGCTGTGCTGACCATTGCCATGTGACCTCAAGGCAGATTTATTAAAAGGACATGACTCTGTGACTGTGCATGTGTATGGTGTCAGATATTTTCTGGAAATAAACTTATTTTCTACGACGCACCTATTCTGTTCTGTTTTGAACACGCGACCATGCAGCGCAGCTGAGTCTCCACCACGAACAGGATGCGCGGCCACCCTCCCTCTCCTGGGCGCCTGTTCTGAAACCGTCTGACCTGTGCTTCGGGCTCATTCCCAAAACGCAGTCACACTTGCTCTGGGGACAACCCAGTCAGTGACAAAAACAGGCCACCAGCCCTGAGCCAGCATGCCCTGCATGAGAAACACTCCCGCTCACAGCTGGCGGGCTCCGGCCTCCGCGGCAGAGTCAGAGCACCTGCTGGCCACAGCGTGGCGGGCTCATGCGCAGGCGCAGGCGCAGGCTCTCCTCCAGCCTTCGGTCCGGCCCCCTCCCCACAGGGGCGTGTCCCGGGAGAGGCCCCTCCCCACAGGGGCGTGTCCCGGGAGAGGCCCCTCCCACAGGGGGTGTGTCCTGGGAGAGGTAATGCCCACGTGCTGCAGGCAGGTGGACGTGTGACCCAGAGGCATTACTGCAGCCGCATCCGGGCATCACCGTCACGCTGCGTCCAGGGCTGCGTCCAGGGCGCGGACGAGGGCGGAGGGAGCAGGGCACGGCCCTGCACTGGGATGGGCAGGGTCGCCGTCCACGCAGTCGGGTGCTGTGGCTGGGGGTGGGTGGGGAGGTGGTGGGCACAGGGCACAGGGTGCAGAGGGCATCAACTCTGGAGCTCTGATGTGAAAACAAAAAACAGAAAAGCTGAAATGCTGGGTTAAATGGAGTGTTTACATTTTTTTAAAAATTCCAGTTTCAGAACTATGGATGGCCCCGGCCGGTGGCTCAGTGGTTAGAGTGTCAGCCTGTGCACTGACGGGTTGCAGGTTCGATCCCCAGCCCGAGTCAGGGAGGCAACTGATCGATGTGTCTCCCTCCCTCCCTCCCACTCTAAAAATCAAGGGAAAAATATCCTCGGGTGAGAATTAACAAAAATTTTTTTAAAGCCAAAGCAGCAGGAAGTGGAGCCCGGAGAGACAGCTGGGTGTCACTGCCCAGGTCGGGATAGCGGGCCCTGGCTCGGAGTTGGGTCTGCAGGAGCCCGCAATCAGAGCCGGTACCAGCCAATCAGGGTTGTTCACAGACTCCGGCAGGGGCAGGGGCCCCAGGGCTGGGCCAGGGCCCAGGGCAGCCCGCTGGGCGGTGCACCTCTGGCTCACACTGATCTGAGCGCCTCCGTCCTGAGCGGTCCTGACGGTGTAGCGGGAGGGTCCCTGACTGCGGCACCTTCCCCAGAGTCACCTTTCCCATCTGTCACGGGTCCGAGACGTGACAGCCTTCAGCTCGGAGGGCCAGTGCCGCCTGCTGAGACTTCGAGGGCTGAAAGGTCCATAAAGAAAAGACCAGCCCTGGCTGGTTGGCACCTCTCTGCACACCAAAAGGTGGCGGGTTTGATTTCTGGTCAGGACACGTGCTGGGTGTGGGTTCAATCCCCAGTTAGGGCGAGAGTGGGAGGCAACAATGTTTCTCTTGCACAGATGAGTTTCTTTCTCCCATCCTCTAAAAAACATAAAATAAAAATCAACAAAACATGCCCTTGGGTGCGGATTGAAAACAAACCGATGCCCGAAGGGCCCTGCCCCCACACCATCTCCCCGGAGCCCCGTCTGGGTGGCGGTCCTTCTGAAACGTCACCACCCCATTTCTGTCCAGTTTTTAGGAATCAAACAGGTCAGGAACCCTGGACTAACACTAGAACAATGTGAACAACAGTCATTCGCTCGGAGAACGAAGAGAAAGCTTGAAGTGGTCCATCTGTAAGGTCAACGAGGCTAAACCCGAAAGGCATGGTGACTGAGACGGTCACCCCAGCGAGCGTCGCTCCAGTGGCCAGCGTGCCCTGTTCACCTCGCAGACCCCCGGTGCCCAGCCTGCCCCTGATGACACCCCGACAGCTCCCACAGGCGGGTGGCTCTCGCCTCTCCCTGGGCATCCAGCTCACACCGAGGGTGCGGCGGGAGGGGTCGGCCCTGGAAAGGGACGCCCCAGCCCCAGCAGCCCGAGGATGACGCGCGCTTTCCGGGAAAATGAAACCACATGGCGACCCCACTGCGGGAACAATCACTTCAGTTTATTGTGTAACAACAGAATGATGCCTCAGCTACAACAGAACAACTAGGAACATGAACACACACTACTGGCCTCTTCCGTTGAAGACTCTTAAATTTTTCCTTGGACAGAAATGTAAAACTTCCCAACTTTTTTTTTTTTTTTGGTATGTGCCCCTAGCGGGAACCGAACCCGGGACTCTGGTCTGCAGGCCAGCGCTCCAACCACTGAGCCAAACCGGCTAGGGCACAACTATCTTTCTAACCCCATAGCACAAAGCCCCCCAACGAAACCACCCTGTTCCTCCAGCCTCCCTGTGCCTGGACAGGGTTTTAACGGCAGCCTCTACCTTTAAAAATGGGTAAGAGACACCCAAATACGAGCCACCTTACCACGGCAGGGGGCTTCCCTCTCCCGCCCTTTCTCCTTGACGTTCAGATAATATCCCAAAGACAAGGTCAGTGCAGGTCACAGGCAGACTCTCCCTCCCGGAAGTACTTTCAGACAGTCCGAGTCTGTTTACGATACAAGGTACCCTAGCCGCGTTTTTTCAAAACAAACAAAAATCTTCACAGTGTATTTGAGAGGCAAACGATTAAAATATAAAATCTACTCTGGCCAGTGTGGCTCAGTGGGCTGGAACGTCGTCTCGTACACCGAAAGGTGGCGGGTCTGATTCCCGGTCAGGGCACATGCCCAGGTTTCAGGTTCGATCCCCTGTCAGGGCGCGTACAGGAAGCAACCAATCGATGTTTCCCTCTTTCTCTTTCTCTCTCCCCCTTCCCTTCTCTCTCAAAAAAAATATCAATAAAAACATGTCTTCGGGTGAGGATTAAAAAAAAAAAAATTTGACTTTTACCTATAAAATAAGTCGGTGAATAAGAATGTTAAAATGAAGACTCCAGACCTCCTAATGCCCTTCCCGTGTTTCAGCCACAAAGAGCAGTTAGACAACGAGCTTGGAGACGAGACCGGCCGGCACTAGAGGTAGTAGAGGCGGCTGGACAGGGACAGGCTGGGCTCGCGGTGGATGCTCTGGCCCACCAGGAAAGCCAGCTTGTGCGCGTACTGGCAAGGAGCGGGCACGCGGATGACGCCCTGCAGCGAAGGAAACAGCCGGTCACTGGCGGTCAGCCCCGCTCGGGCGCCTGCAGCCCCGGCCGGCCGCCCCGCAGACCCACCGGCCAGTTGTAGTAGATGTGGCACAGCTTGTAGGTCAGCCGCTGGATGTGGTCGGGCTTCAGGCCGCTGCTGTCGTAGATGACGTTGTAGTGGGTGGGGGACACGCTGCCGCTGCGCACGGCCTGGCTCACGATGAAGAAGTCGTACCTGCGAGCACACACCACGGGCGTGAGCCCCTCCGGAGGCTGGGCTAAGAGGGTCGCCTTTCCTGCAGCGGAAAGACCTCAGACACCGATGGAGCCTGGTCCCTGAGACACAGGGCTCCCCTCAAGTCCAGCACAAGGTGAGCCATCGCCCAGCAGTGTGAAAGGTGCTGAGGTGTCACTGTGTGAACAGAGGTGGAGGAGCAGGTCAGGGTGCCCTGGGCTCCGCAGATGTTTGCTGGGTGCACCGGGGTCCACGCCTCCACGTCCACAGCACGGGGGTGGGGGTGGGCAGTGGGGGCGGGGGGCAGTGGGGATGGCGGGGGGCAGTGGGAGCGGGGGGGGCAGTGGGGACAGCAGGGGGGGCAGTGGGGATGGCGGGGGGGCAGTGGGGGGCCAGTGGGGAGGAGGGCAGTGGGGAGGGGTGCCCAGGCTAAGCTGTCGCCCAGACTCCCCTTCCCACAGAACCTGCCCCCGCTGCCCCACTGCTCGGGGTCAGAGCGGATCGCAGGGAGCCGGTCGAGCAGAGCACGCGCTGTGAACACAGAAAGCACACCGAGGCTCCCGTCCGCACGCGCTGTGAACACAGAAACCACACCGAGGCTCCCGGTCCGCACGCGCTGTGAACACAGAAAGCACACCGAGGCTCCCGTCCGCACGCGCTGTGAACACAGAAACCACACCGAGGCTCCCGTCCGCACGCGGTGTGAACACAGAAACCACACCGAGGCTCCCGTCCGCACGCGCTGTGAACACAGAAACCACACCGAGGCTCCCGGTCCGCACGCGCTGTGAACACAGAAAGCACACCGAGGCTCCCGGTCCGCACGCGCTGTGAACACAGAAAGCACACCGAGGCTCCCGTCCGCACGCGCTGTGAACACAGAAACCACACCGAGGCTCCCGTCCGCACGCGCTGTGAACACAGAAACCACACCGAGGCTCCCGTCCGCACGCGGTGTGAACACAGAAACCACACCGAGGCTCCCGTCCGCACGCGCTGTGAACACAGAAACCACACCGAGGCTCCCGTCCGCACGCGCTGTGAACACAGAAAGCACACCGAGGCTCCCGTCCGCACGCGCTGTGAACACAGAAAGCACACCGAGGCTCCCGTCCGCACGCGCTGTGAACACAGAAAGCACACCGAGGCTCCCGTCCGCACGCGCTGTGAACACAGAAACCACACCGAGGCTCCCGTCCGCACGCGCTGTGAACACAGAAACCACACCGAGGCTCCCGTCCGCACGCGGTGTGAACACAGAAACCACACCGAGGCTCCCGTCCGCACGCGCTGTGAACACAGAAACCACACCGAGGCTCCCGTCCGCACGCGGTGTGAACACAGAAACCACACCGAGGCTCCCGTCCGCACGCGCTGTGAACACAGAAAGCACACCGAGGCTCCCGGTCCGCACGCGCTGTGAACACAGAAACCACACTGAGGCTCCCGTCCGCACGCGGTGTGAACACAGAAAGCACACCGAGGCTCCCGTCCGCACGCACCGACGGCAGTGCAGGGACACGGCACGTGGCCTGGCAGGCGGGAAGCCCCTCTGCGACCCCCCAAGAGCCACAGACGGGCCTGGAGAGCGGAACCAACCGCCAGGTTCTGCCTGTTCAGGAGCAGGAAGGTTTTGGAAACGACTTCCCCCAAGAACAGAAAGACCACAGGGGCGCGGGAACCGCAGCCTCGCCCCGGGCCGGCCCCTCAGCGCCCCGGCCGCGCCAGCATCTGAGTCGCAGCAGCCACGCTGTTTTACGGCTCCGGCAAGGAGAGCTTCCCCCGCTTCCTGCTGAACCTGCACCCTCCTTGCTCTGCGGTGCCCCGGCCACCACACAGGGCCTCGCTGTGGGCAGAGTGCCGCCCGCCACGGCCAGGGCTGTGCGGTCATCTCGGCGCCAGCCAGCGGGGGAGGCCTCAGTGTCCGGCACAGCTGCAGCCCAGGACAGAGGCCACGTGTTCAAGCTGACCAGGAACAGGGGCCAGCACACGCAGAGAGACAACCGGAAACAGTCCTCGCCTGACCGCAGGGGCGCTCACCACTCCGGCCGGGTCACCTCCACGTCGATGACCGTCCCGGGAAGGGGGTTCTGAAGTCGTCCTCCAGACTGAGCGAAAAACCTGGCATTCACCCGTTTCTTCACCACGATCACCGTCAGCCTGGGGCTGAGAGGGGAACAAGGTGACAGGTAGTGTCCCCTTCCCGGGGCCCCCACACCCAGCTCAGGGACACTCGCCCCGGGCCCGTGCGCTAGCCACGCTGTGCAGGGAGACCCCGACGTGAAGGACCAGCAGAGAACTGGGGGAGAAGACAGCAGCCAGGTCTCGTCCACGCCCAAGGCCAGCCCGCGGACCCCGCCCCCACCCGCGCGCTATGAGCAGCACCTCCCTCCCTGCGGCACAGAGGTGCCGACTCTCAGGTCCCGGGGCTGCCGCGCGGTCGCCAACTCCAACTCCTCCTTCTCAGTGCCTGGTTCGCGACGCCGGCCTCGGCCTGTCCCGCGTGGCTCAGCCGCCCGCACCCCCACCCGTCACACTACAGGGTTCACGTCTGTCCTCTCTGCCCGTGTCAGCTCTTCTGGGGGCTCCTGTGCCTCGACTGACTGCGTCCCTGGTGAACTTCCGGCCCTGCGTCTGGAGCCCACTGGTCCCCCAAGGGCCTCCCTGCAGGTGGCCGCCCGAGGAGCTCCCGCCGCCTTTGCTGCCCGCCTCCCAGGCTCATCTCGGATCTGCTGGAAGCGCCCCACCCCCACCCACACGTCACCTCGGGATGGGGGTGAGCCCACGGGAAGCCCGGAGTCACGCTAGTGTGTGCGACAAGTGCCTGGCGACGCTCTGGGGACGCCTCCGGTCCCCCGCTCATTCCCTCGGGCACAGGCACTCTCCCCCGCCCCGGGAAGCAGAGGTCCTCCCGAGGGCACCGGGAGGGCTGCCCCAGGTGCTGCCGGGACAAGGACCCGCAGACCCGCAGAGCCCCCGGGGGGCAGGGGCTGGCGCCACGTCAGTGTGCACAGGGCACCTAGAAATGCCACTCTGCCCGCCGCCCTCAGCTGCCAGCAGCCAGGGTCTCAGGACCAAAGGGGACGTGGGTTCAGTCCTGTGACGTCACAAGCAGCAGCTCAGCAAATGTGGCCGCAGACGAGTCACGAGTGTGCTCGGCTGACGTCTGGCTCGTCCCGTCAGACGTCTGGGATCAGCTCATCTGTGACAGGTCTGAGTCACTGACCTCCGGGCAGGGACACACCCCGGTCCCGAGGACAACCGTGGGTGTCAAGCAACCTTTGTCCGAAGGGGGCAGCAACGGAAGGAGCGCCCTCCAGCGGCGCTGAATGCAGCCGGCCACCGGCCGCGGACACCAGGCAGGCCTGCCGCAGGGGGTCCTCGCTGCAGCCACTCGGGAGGCTGCAGGGGGACGGGAGTCCCGACCCGCGCTCCACGGCTCCGGGTGAGGCGGCTGGCGGAGGAGACCGGCGCAGGACCCTCGTCTGCACACCCATCCCCCGCCTCCGGGCGCTCCCGGGCGCAGGCCCAGGAGGGACGGTGCCTGACCGGCGGCAGCGTGCTTACTTGTAGCCCCTGCCCACCGACTTGAGGCAGTCCAGGAACTGCGGCACCTCGTAGCTGACCAGCGTCTTCAGCTGGCCGTCGCCCACGCCGTCGCGGTACACGATGATGCGGCTGGGCATGTACTCGTTGCACGTGTTCCAGGCCCGCAGCGCGGCTGTAACACACCCCGCTGAGTCCGCACGCACGCGGCTCCCCCACCCTGGCCTGCGTGGGGCTGGGCCTCGGGGGCCTGGGGTCTCACAGCCGCAGGCCGACTCACCTTGCAGACACACTTTGAGCCCATCCACCAGCTCCTGGCCTCGGTCTTGAAACACACAGCGTGAGAACCAGCTGTTCGGAGAGAGACGGCCAGGTCAGCACGCGGCCGCTGCTCGCCTGGCTGTGTCCCCGCTGTTCCAGCCTCGCGTGACCTCCGCTCCCTCCGCAAGGACGTCTGCTGCCACCTCCGAACACGCGCGCACCTCAGACAGGATAGCGAGGAAGCAACCCCCCACACCCTCCAGACTGACCCCTCCCGAGACAGCAGCACCGAGAGGGGCCCAGGCGGAGGCCGGGCGGAGGTCACGGCGAGTCCTGTGGAACCCCCCGCGCAGATGCTCTCCCAGGGCCCCAGCGTGGCCCCCAGAGGCCGGGCTGTTCGCGCCCCGCCCCTGCTCTGCTCCCCGCAGCTCCCTCAGTGCCAACGAGGGCACTGCAGACACTTCCACGCTGTCCAACCATGAGTGACCGTGACGCCGAAGTGGGCCTTCCAGCACGAAGTCATGTGAACACGAATTATGGGTCAGAGGTCGGTGACAAACAGGCGTGTCAGAGGGGCCACAGGGGTGCCACGTGCCTCCCACAGACACGCAGGGCAGGCAGGGGAGCTGAAGGAGGGCGACTGCACAGGCCGAGGGCCCGTGGGGACAGTGGACGGTGACAGGGCAGCTGATAACTGTCCTTCCCGACCTCTGCAGCTGGCTCCACAGTCAGGGGACCGGGTGGAAATGCAGCAGGAGCCTCAGAGCCCTGGGCCACAGCCCTGCACGCGGGCGCTGGGGGACCCCACTCACCGCGTCATCCCCTCGTTGATGCTCGCCACAAAGCCCGCGATCGACCTCCGTCCGGCCGTGGTGTCGTGGTAGCAGTCGATGCCCACGATCATCACGAGCTTCAGCTGGGACACAAACACGGCCGCTCAGGGCGCAGAGCGCCAGGAAGCCCGTCCCTGCAGCAGGGCTCCGCCACGCGTGGAGGAGGCTCACCGGCATGTCCACCCGCCACAGCTCGCCGCCCATCTTGCAGTTCATCTGCAGGGCGATCTTCGTGGCGATGGCCATGACCGTCTGCTGCTTGCCCAAGGTGCGGGCCACCACGCACTGGCTGGGCGTGGGGCAGTCTGTGCACAGGTACTTCTTAATAGCGTCGTATTTGTCTTTCCGATTGCTCGACAACAGACAAACCACCTGGAAACAGACACACCCACATCACAGGGAATCGAACTGAGGATGGCGTTCAGGGAAGACAACAGGAAACCACCCCCAGGGCAGGGACGACGGTCCCATGTCCTGCTCAGCTCTGCCCACTTGTGAGTGTGACACGGAGACTGTCCACTGCGTCCGACTGAGTGCGACAGACGGCCCACTGCGTCCGACTGTGTGACACCGAGACGGTCCACTGCGTCCGGCTGTGAGTGCGACACCGAGACGGTCCACTGCGTCAGACTGTGAACGTGACAGACACTGTCCACTGCATCTGACTGAGTGACGGACGCTGATCAATGTCTCAGGCAAACGACCCGCAGTGGATGCATCATACGTGGCCCAGCTAAACATGGTCGATCACCAGCTAGGAGTGCCCGGGAGGAAGCAAACGGGGCAGAACAGGTAACTCGTGGGACCGACAGGAGGGTTTCCAAAATGCTTTTTGTTTACGCACAATCCCTGTAGGGTACCCCTAGGATCATGGTTCTTAACTTTTTAAACCTCTGGCTTGAGAACCTGACCGCACTAGCGAGTCTCCACAGACAATCTGGAAACAATGAAATGGTCAAAACACCACCCCTCCTGACACGGGGGTGCTGGTCCACGGGCGCCAACACCCACTTACAGCCCAGTCGGTGCTGGGGCGTCACAGCGCGGCGACCAGTGGCCACACTGGGTGCCCGAAGCTGCCGCGCTCAGCACACGAGGTGGGTTCTGAGGGCTGGCGGAGGTGTGGCTCACCCGCTGGGTGACCTCCGCAGTGTGTACATTGCGCCCTCTAAACCTGAACCATGTTACACGCCAACTACGTCTTGGTAAAGCAGGAGGATAACCCTCCACCGCCCCTGCCTAGACCCTGGGGCTCCGAGTGTATGTCTGGAGCTGACCCCAGCTTTAAGCCACAGGGATTCTCCAACGTACGTGCTCAGAGGCTCATCTCCCCTTTCCACAGGCCCAGCAAACCCTCTCCACCCCGAGTCTCCGTGGCCCCAGACAACATGACAGCGACCTGCCTCGGGGACGGAGGGCTCAAGAAAGGGACAGTCGATGGACCGATGCACCTCCTGGCTTGGAGCACCAGGCCTATGCTGCGCGCGGCGCCCTGTGCCCTCGCCCGACGCGCCCCGCACAGAACCCCCAGCGCTGAGCGTGGGCTGACCCTCCCCTTCCAGAGGACCAGAGAGGCTCCAAGTCCAGATAGGTGCGCGGCTCTATGGGTCCGCCCCCGCCCCCCGCTGCACACGGCACAGCCAGCACCCACGCGGCGCTGTCTGCAGGTGGAACGCAGTGTGGCCAGGCCAGAGACCGAATGACCACGTTCGGGAAATGAGCTCAGGCTCTGAGATGCCACGTGCCCCTCCCAGGACAGGTGCTGCCGGACGACCGCGCGGGCCGGCGAGCTACTCACGATCTGGGTGTCCGATGTCACCTTCTGCTGCAGGACCCTCAGGTAGGCCTCCGTCCGGTCGTCCACTTCGATCCTAGGGCGGAGCGCGCCGACACTGAGCAAGCGGTGGACCCGCGCCGGGCACCGCAGTGCTGGGCCCTCAGTGCCCGCAGGCCCCGCCGTCGGCCCCGCACGCCCGCGCCCACATGCCCGGGACAGGCACCGTGGGCAGTCCTCACGCTGAGCTCGTCGCCTGACGGTTCACAGCACGTCCGTCCACCTCAGGCCCCACACCTTCTCCTAACCCGGCTCCCGCTCACATGATCGCCTTCTTCATCTGGATGCCCATGGCCGGCGTCACCTTGAACAGGTTCTGCACCAGCGAGTTGGCCGCTTCGTAGTTCCTTCGCGTGTAGATCAGCAGCCAGTTATCGAGGGGCTTGACGCTGATCAGGGGCGCACCCCTCGTTTCCTTGGACCAGTCTGCGAACTGGGGGTTGTACTCGAACTAGGGGAGAGGGCAGAGACACCGCGCGTCCTCGTGGGCCAGGGCCAGCCACAAAGCCACAGCCACACCCAGGGCCACGCTGACCTGACCCCTTCCCACGTGGCGCAGACGGCAGGAGCTCTCGGGGACATCGTGTCCCTGAAGGACAGTGGCCCCAGGTGCTCCCCTGTCTGAGCTGCTCTGTCACGGTCTCTCCTAACCTCGGGCAGAGGACACGGTGGCTGTGCAGGGCGCGCACCTGACCGAGGTGGCAGAGGCGGGCAGTGCGCTCTGGCCGCGGGCACCGGCCGGTACAGACTACACAGTGGCTGGCTGTGGCCGGGGTGGAGGGAGGCTGCACTCGGCCCGCCCTCCCCAGCCCAGGTGGGACGGGTCTGGTCCCCGCGGGAGGGGCCCAGGCGTCTGGGGTGCCCTGTGACGCCCTTCAGGGCAGACCCGCAGGCCTCGCCCACAGCGCAGGGGCCTCGGGCTCCTCACAAAGGCGAAGGAGCCCGTAGTGGTGCCCGAGGGCCGCGCCGGGGCTGGGGGGGGACGGCTGTGCCGCCGTCCCTGCGCGCTCCCGCCTGCCGTGCTGCGCCAATGCCCCGCCAGACCTCGGCGATGCCAGGGGGCCAGGGCCTTACTGTCTTCCCGCCTTGGTGGATCTTCTCGGCCTGCAGGACCCTCCCCGAGAAGGACAGCAGGTTGGAGTCGAAGCTCAGGCCCCAGTCTCGAAGCTCCCTCTGAACGTTGTCGTCTCTGTCGAGTGCACGTGACGCGGCGCCAGGCGTCAGGGAGCACAGCCAAGCGGCCTGCGCAGGGACCCCCGCCCGCCCCTCCCTGTGCATCTGACCAGACCCTGCGGAGACGCAGGGCACCCCGTGTGCTCTCCAGTCCATGTTCCTCCTCCAGCCCCCCACTCACAGGGCTGAGGCCCCGACACCTTCCTCAGAGCAGACCCACCCTGAGGGCACATGGAGGAAACACTGCCCAAGGAACTTGGCTCCCGACGGACTGGAAAGGTCCCGAGTTGGGCCATCAGCCCACTGAGCACAGGGGGAGCCCGCCTGGCACTGTGGCACGAGGGTGGGGGGCAGAGGCGGGCAGCAGGCGGCGCGGCGGCATCACCTGTGGATGTAGTCGATGAGCCGCCCCACCTCGCGCTGTCTCTGCTCCGGGGTGAGTCTCGTGTGCACAGCCAAGTCCTTCATCACGGTGAAATCGTTGCGCATTTTATCCGTCAGACCTTCGAACAAAACACGACAGGGGCACGTTGAAGGAACGGGACTCGCATCTCGCTGTCGGGAGCGGAGGTGGTGAGGAGGGTGTTTCAGGGGCTCGGCTCCCGGGCTCCGGGCGGGCAGCGAGCGGGCGCGTACCTGTGAGGTAGCAGAGCTCAGGGATGAGCATGGCCGGGCCTGGCAGGATGCCGCCCGGGCCCCGCCTCCTCTTGGGCTGACTGACCAGCACCGGCTGTTTCAAGTCTGTGATCTCCTGGTTGTATTGCTGCTCGAGGAGAGAGAGGGTCACTGTTCACAGGAGATGCCTCCAGCGACACGGTGCCCGACAAAGGCAGGTGTTAACTGAAGAATAAACCCACAGCAAGACAGCAGTTTCCAAGTCAAGTTTTAAAAATGCGTTTTTAGTTCTGGCCGGTTTGGCCCAGCAGTTAGAGCGTCGCCCTTGGACCACACGGTCCCGGGTTCGATTCTGGCCAAGGGCACGTACCTCGGTTGCAGTTTGGCCCTGGCCCTGGTCAGGGTCGTGTGGGAGGCAATCAGTGGGTGTGTCTCTCTCACATCGATGTTTCTCTCTCTCCCTCCCACTCTATCTGAAGATAAATGAAAAAGTATCCTCGGGTGAGGATTTAAAAAGAAATTACAACACACTGTTAACCCTGCTCAGCCAGGCTGTGCCTCCGATGCTCCCCCAGCGGCTCTTTCCTACAAACCCTGGTGGTTGAGGTCAGGAGGGGGCTACACTGTGACTTGATTTCTTGGTTTAGAAACAAGCAGCTTCTGAAAGTCTCACTTGGCAACAAGCAGACAAATCAGGGCAAACGTCAGCTCACAGGCTGACAGAGAACGTGTCTCACTCCCCTCCGCTCTGCGAGGAGACGCGTGCCCAGCTGCCCGAGACGCCCAGCTGCCCGAGACGCCCCGAGACGGTCTACCCTCGAGCACACTGCCTGGGAAAGCGCAGTTTGTAAGGATAGAGCGTTAAAACACACACCTCCCCGCGCAGAGGACGAGTGGGGGAGGGCAGAGATCCGCGGCCGCGGGCTGTTCCCGAAGTTTCACACACACCAACACCTGGGAACTGAGGTCCAGCCCGCCCGGGAGCCCCCAGGTGCAGCCCTGGGTGAGTCTGCACCTGAGAACAGGTCGGCTCAGGCGAGCGTGCGCACGAGCGAGCGGATCTCTGGCTCAGCTCAGCGAGTCTAGAGCCGCCACAGGCTCCGGCCTGAGGCTGACAGGTCTTCTCTGGGTCACTGGCGGTAGGTCCCCTCCCAGCATTGTACTGTCTGGTTAACTCAGCTCCCTTTATTCATTTTTAAATGTTTTTATGGACTTTTTAGAGAGGGAGGGAGGAAGAGAGAGAGAGACATCGATGTGACAGAGAAACACCCATCGGCCACCTCCTGCACGCCCCCCACTGGGGATGGAGCCCACAGCCCGGGCGTGTGCCCTGACCGGGAATCGACTGGGACCTCTCGGTCCATGGGACATGCTCAGTCCACTAAGCCGCACCAGCTGGACTTAGCTCCCTTTATTAAGAGCATCAGTCTCCACTAAACACACATTTCACTGGTCGTAGTCTCTGAACAGACGGCGCGGAACCGCCCATCCCTCGCTCCTGCCCCACAAGGTCCCGGCCACGCAGCTGCGTGGACGGAGGCTGCGGATTCCAGCCGGGTCTTGGCTTCGTCCGGCACTGAACTCTGCCAACCATCCAGAGAAGTTAATTGTATTTCAGACAAGAAAACCTCACGTAGAACACGTGCATCGACCCTCCTTCCGCACAGTTATCTGGGACCGCACACTTGGGTGACTTCAGATCTGTTCCCACTTCCTTCTCCCACCCAGGTCCTGGTGCAGGGCTGTGGGACCCCTTCCGTCTCCTCAGGCCCGTGCAGTCTGCTGGCTGAGCCCGCCTGGCCCTCTTTCTGTCACTGTGACGTTCCGCGTCAGCACGACTGGCCGTCTCCCCCCGAGCCCCCGCCGAGCGCCTCCCAGTCGCCACGTGTCCCCGGGAAGGGCTGACGCGGTTCTCTCAGACACTCCAACCCCACGCCGCTTCGATTGATCGCAGCCACTAAAGACACCTGGGGCGAGATGTGCCCCTCAGAAAGGACCGAGCTGGGAGCCCGAGGCCAGTGGGCAGAGGCCCGGGCAGATGGGACGGCGTGACGGGGGGCAGCAGGCAGGCGGGGTCCCCTCGGGCTCGCCGATGAAGCCCGTGCACCAAGGCGCTAGAGCCGTGGGAAGCCACCGGACTCCTTCGGGGAAAGACACGCCCACAAGTGGATCGGGAGGCAGAAGTGACCACGAAGAGACCAGATGAGTGGCCAAGGGAAGGGCCAGTGACTGAGAAAGCTGACTGCTTCAGAGCAAAGGAGAGCAAGAGGCGGTGACCACGGCGACCCCGGGTGGGGGCAGGGAGGCCGTGGGACCCGCTGCTCCAGGCGCCCCCCACAGGCCCTGGCCCCCCGGCCAGGGCGGGGTACCCCCCGAGCCGGCCCTGCTGAGCCCTGGGGCAGCAGGTCACCACGGGTCGCACAGAGATGCGAGTCCCCAGGTCCTGAGGCACCGAGCTTAGCCGTGGGCAGGCTGGAGCGCTCCCCTCTGAAGACCGCGCGCTAGTTCCAGCCCCGTGTGAACATGTCCTTGTCCCCTCAGGCACTGTTTCCACGCTCTCTTGGCCCCTGGTGTTTTCTCCGAGCGAGTGACCACTGAGCCAGTGGCTGCAGCCGTCTCGGGAGCACCGTGCTGGGAGGTCAGCCGGCACCCGCCTGACTGTCCGCAGGCACGGGGCGGTCAGGAGCAGGCACGTGCGGATGGGGCACGGTGGACGCGGGGTGCTCAGGGGTCCCCCGTCCCTGTCCCCAGTTAAGCACTGACAGAATAAGGGACGGTGGTCAGCAGCTCACCCGCAGGGTCCGCCCTGCGACCTGCCCACCTGTCCCCACACACTCAGGTTCAAATGCCGTCGTTTGTTCTACTCAAAGGGAGCCGGCAGGACACACCCCGACGGGGCGGACGGGCCCAGCTGGGACCGGCTGCAGGCCCTGGGGGAAGGTCCGCACCCTTCACGTGGGCGAGCCGATGCCAGCCCTACCTTCCGGTAGTACTCCAAGAAGCTGACTTCAGAGCCATCGGCCTTCTTGAAGGTGCTGTTCGGGTTCTGGTCCCAGTCGATGTCGTCCACTCGGTACGTCTTGTTGTTGTACCTGTGCCACAGGGACCTTTACTAGCACTTGGTTCGCAGGTCAGATCAACGCTAAGGTTACAGGTCGCGCAGTGACGTGCCCGTCACGGAAGGAAAAAGGGGAGAGGACTTCTTAGAGGATGCTGGTGGGTGGATGGATGGGGAAGGGACGAGTTACTATGAGGCAGTAAGGTTAGGACAGAAAGGGGTCAAAGCCCCTGAAGTCTGCCCTCTGCAGAGGAGCATGCCCCCCAGCCTCTGCCCCTCAGGAGGGAGCAGACCCCCCCCAGCCTCTGCCCCTCAGGAGGGAGCAGGACCCCCCCCAGCCTCTGCCCCTCAGGAGGGAGCAGACCCCCCCCAGCCTCTGCCCCTCAGGAGGGAGCAGGACCCCCCCAGCCTCTGCCCCTCAGGAGGGAGCAGGACCCCCCAGCCTCTGCCCCTCAGGAGGGAGCAGACCCCCCCCCCAGCCTCTGCCCCTCAGGAGGGAGCAGACCCCCCCAGCCTCTGCCCCTCAGGAGGGAGCAGACCCCCCCAGCCTCTGCCCCTCAGGAGGGAGCAGACCCCCCCCCCCAGCCTCTGCCCCTCAGGAGGGAGCAGGACCCCCCCAGCCTCTGCCCCTCAGGAGGGAGCAGACCCCCCCCCCGCCTCTGCCCCTCAGGAGGGAGCAGGACCCCCCCAGCCTCTGCCCCTCAGGAGGGAGCAGGACCCTCCAGCCTCTGCCCCTCAGGAGGGAGCAGCACCCCCCCACACGCGTGGGCCAGCAGCCTACTTGGTGAGCACGATGAGGCCCACGAGCTCCTTGGAGACCTGCTCCTGGAAGCGATGCTCCTCCGTCTGCTGGTACAGGCCCAGCATGAAGTCCAGCACCGTCTCGCTGCGCAGCACCTTGTGGCTGACGTCGGTGCACAGCATGATGTTGTTCTCGTACTGCAGGATGGAGGTCGTGAAGCCGGGCCAGATCACCAACCTGCGACACAGCACCCTGTCTGCGCAGCCCCACGGCGAGGCGCGCACGCCTGGGTTTCCACGTTCCCATAGGAGACCCGTCCTCGCGAGGTCTTCCGCTGCTCTCTCACAGGAAGCGTGGAAATCATTTCAACTGAGCACGGCGGCTCCATTAAAGTGCCCCGTGCCCTGGCCCAAGGCTCGAACAAGTTGGCAACCTAACCGAGCGCGTCTGAGGTTGTAATGACCCAGAGCACCCGGGCGCCTCCCGCACACCAGCTTCCGAAGTGCCGTCAGCTGAGGGACTTCATCCCCGGGAGCGGGTGCACCTGGGGGGGGACTGCTGTGTGCCTCCCCGTGACCCGTGGCTGACCTCCCGTGACCTGCAAAAGCCCGTGCTCTGGGGTGTCTCCGGTGTTCTTTGAGCCGAGCGGCATGCGCCCTTCCTGGCTGGCACCACGGGCCGCACGCGAGCGGAGCCCCCCCCCCCCCGTCCCACCTTCACACACACCTGTGGTTGGGAATATCAATCGGGTCGCTCGGGTTGTAGTAATTCCGTCCAATTTGCTGCAAATTCATGATCTTCAAAAGCCTAGGAAGGGAGAGGTCAGGATAGGAGTGAGCGCCGCGACCCCCTCCAGCGCCGTGACCGCGGCGGCACGTGGAGTGGCTGGGCTGGAGGCCGAGGCCCCGGTCGGCCCAGAGCCAGCCTGCCCGCCGGCCCTCGTGCGGCTGAGATGGCTCTTTCACCTGGCGAGGGACGGAGACGCGGAAAGGCGCACGGATTACGTGAGATCCCAGCGTCGGTGCGCATCGGGGAAGCTGTGCTGAGCCCGGCCGTGGGCTCGCACTGCCGTGGGCTCCGTGGCTGAGATGACACCACGCACCCCTTCACAGGGGACGTCTGCCAACCCCTCACTTAGAGAGAGTCTCCTCGTTCGTTAACCCAGAACAAGTACCCACCAAAGCTATGGCAGAACCCACTTGAAGGGGTCAGTTTAAGTCCAACCACCGTCAGGTCTCACTGTTCACAGGCAGACTGCAGCCTCCTCCCGACCCAGGGGGAGCTTTGCGGTCGTCCCAGCTCGGTCTGGGGTCTGGGACCTGGGCTGGAGGCGGGCCACAGAGGTGCAGTGTCCCCAGGAAGAAGCATCCACCCGAGCCCACCGGCCCGCCTCCGGGGCGTCCCCGTCGTGCGGAGGAGCAGTCGGGGCTGAGCTGAGAAGGGGTCCTCAGCACAAACTGCAGTGTCCGCAGACGGGGCCGTCGGGCGGAGCGGCCTGCTCGAGCCCACCTGCGTCTCGGTCGGGGTGCCACACCTCAGCGGTGCCAGTCTGAGTGCCCAGCTCGCGCGTGAGGAGGACTCGCCCACGCACCTCCGGAAGATGATGTTGTAGAACTGCAGGCAGGTGGGCGACGTCGGGGGCAGCTCGTTGGTCAGGGTGATGGTGATCTTCACGTGCTCTCCGTTCCGGGTCTGGCTGAACACTTCCGTGACCTGGTGCGGGTGGCGGGGAGCGAGCTGTGAACCTGCGAGAGGAGCCCTGACCCCGGACGCAGCTGGGGACCCCAGCGGCCAGCACAGCAGGTTCTGACGACGAGCCGGCGTCTCCGAGGAGAGCGCTGTCTGCCGTCCGGGGACAAGCCGGCCCCTGGCGGGCGCGAGGGACACGCAGCAGGGTGGCAGACAGGCCGCACTGGGTCCTTTGGGGGCCCCGACACTGGCAGCGTACTGTGGGCTGGGAACCCCTGCCCTCCCCTCCCCTCCCCATCCCGACGTGTGGAACCACCTTGTGCTGCAGCCGTTTAGGGAGAAATAAGATGGTTCCGTCGAAGGCGTGACACCTTCCGATCAGGTCTTCGTGCTGGAAGAGCAGGGCGGAGCGCAGCCGGCGAGCCTCCATCAGCGGGCTGTAGTCCACGTGGTACTGGTACAAGGCCCACTGGGGGCGCGAGGTCAGCCGGAAGTGGTTGGTGCTCAGCCTCACGATGATGCCGGAGGAGCCTGCACAACAAGGCGGTCTGCAGCGGGCACTGCGTCTGTCCGTCCGGGCACCACGCGGGCCGGCTCTGGGAGCCGAGGGCAGAGCAGGCCACAGGAACCCTCGCCCACGCCCGGCTGGGGCGCCATGCCATCTGCCCACCCCCGACAGCCCCTTAGAAACAAATCCTCCTCAGGCTGACCTTCAGCTGGACCAGCCGCACCCGTGGCAAAGGTGTGCAGAGGCAGGATGACCTCTGAGACTTCACACGACTCGGCCCAGCTGGAGGCAGCCCCCCGGGGACCCGCGCCTGCCTTGCATCTCCGGGTGCACACGCGGCTCGAGCACGCGCAGTCGGCTCCCGCGACCGCCTGCGAGCTGACCCACCTGTCTTCGACTCTTTCACATGGTCGATGTTCTGCCTCGTGTTCACCCCGAGGTCGTGGAAATCTCGGCGACGACCCCCTCTCTCTGCTAATGACAACTCCTGAAATCCTGCAGAAATCTGGAGTTCTTAAAAAAAGAAAGAAAACTGACACCTGAGTGACCGGGAGCACGGACGAGCCCACGCGGCGGGGGTGGCTCCGGATCACGGCGGCGTTTCCACGGGCGCTTCACGCTCTCCCCGGACGACCCAGCACGCAGGCTTCACGGCGTGCGGAGAGCGTAACCGCCCCGTCCCCTCGGACCTGCGCAGGAGCCGCTAGGCCGTGCTGCCGGGTCAGCCGTCCCCATCGGTCCCTCGCATCAACTCCGCAGCCAAGGACCCTGTCCCCAGCGTCCGTGGCCCCGGCAAGAACTGCGTCAACAGGCCGGGCGTGCGAGTCCCCCCTGGCAGCAGCGGGCAGCAAGGCTGGGTCTGAGCTTCTCCCCGAAAAACATGACTTTGTCTTTCTTAAAAACCAGCTCTGGACGCAAAAACCTGGTTGAAGTATCTGCATACAAATACAAGGCGGTCTGCCGCGACACGTCCGCAGGGTGGGTGTCGGTCTGCTGTCCGCCCACAGGCAGCAGGCTCCGCAGCAGGCGGCGGGCACCTTGCCGACCCCTCCGGGCAGCAGGAGGTATCAGAGAACCAAGGGCACTCGCGCCCGCGACGCGAGCCCTTCACGCAGCCCCGTCACGCCTCGACAGACGTGCTCGCTGTGTCTCCCCAGGACACACTAGAGGCTGCGCAGCTACTGGACAGCTCTCGGGACGGTGCTCTCGTGGTCCCCACAGGAGCAGGTGCTCACGGGCCTGGCCTGCGGTGCCCCAGAGCCCCACCGTGTGGGCAGCTGCTGCCTCTCAGAGGAGCGGAGTGTCCGCGGGTAGGGAGCGGGCGTGCGCCTTCGGCGGGAGTCAGCACAGGCTTCCCTCCAGGCCCCGTGCTCTGAGCCCGCTCCCTGCTGCCCCGCCCACAGCCCAGCACACGGGTACGTGAGAACACACGCACACACAGCACTCACATACACACACCGCTCACATACACACACCCCTCCACTCACACACCACACACCACTCACACCCACACACCACACACACCGCTCACACTACTAACACACACCACACACACCGCACACACCCCACACAGCACGCGTGCACACACCACACACACCGCACACACCACACAGCACGCGTGCACACACCACACACACTGCACACACCACACAGCATGCGTGCACACACCACACACACCGCACACACCATACAGCATGCGCGCACACACACCACACACACACCACACACACCACACACACAGCGCACACACCACACACACACACACACACCACTCACACCCCCCCACACAGCACACCCACACACACACTCACACTCTCCCTTCACCTTGTGACTTCTTCACCTTGTGACTTGGCTGCTGCTCCTACTGGTCCTCGCTGTCGCCCGCGGCCGGCTAGGTCCCCCTCGGACAGCGGCTGCAGAGGCCGAGGCTGCTGGCCCTGCAGTGAGGAGCAAAGAGAGGAGCGTCCTCCTCGTGTCCAGACGTCCCTGGTAGGACACGAAGTAACTGGTCTCGACTCAAACCGATCTGATCTAGTTATCAAACGTCATCGTAAAGACGCTGCTCTGAGGAAGTCGAGACGGAGCCCGGTCTTCCTCCTGGTGCCCGCCCCTCCATCAGACACCTTTCAGACCCGCCGACAGGCCAGCCTCAGCGGGTGGGGGACAACAGGCTGGGCCCGGCAGCGTCAGGAGGGAAATGGTGGGCACTCACCGCAGCAGCGCCCACGTGTGGCACGGTCTCCTGACCGCGAGCCCTTCCCCTCGCTCTTGCACGGGCTCGCCCCGTCATCTTCTCTTCTTGGAAGGGAACAGAGGGGACAGCGCTCAGTGCACTCGGGGGTGGCCGTCTCCCCAGGTTACCTTCAGACGGATTCCGTCTGGATCTTGACACAAGCACCTGGCGATTCCGTTTCCAACCACTCGACACCCACTCAAGGCAGGACCAGCTCCGGCGCCTACTGCGGACGGCGCTGTGCTGCTGGCCGGGCTAACGTGGACGCTCATTTAACGTGGGTTTCACTTTCCAGTTGATTTGTTATAAACAGACGGTAAAACCGTTAGGAGACTGAACACGGGGATGTATCTACGGTGGGGCCGGGCAGGGTGGCAAGTTCCACGCCAGGCCCTGTGCATCCAGACCTCCTCCTCCTAGGTCTACATCACTCAGGACCCCCGGCTCTCTCCTGGCGTGTGGCCTTACCGTGCACCTGGTCTCCAAGAAGCACGCCGAGCTTTTCTCTCTAACTGACTCCTTCATTGCTGCTGCTGCGCCTGACCCAGCCCCCTCCACTCCTGCAACACCAGGTGAGCCAGGAGCCAGGATCCGTGCTGGGCTTCAGCCATGTGACCCCCTCGCCCCCCCCCCCCCGCCCCCCGTAGGAAGCAGCAGCACCAGGAGGTTTAGGGCCAGACCTCAGTGCTCACCCCCAGACCCTGCTCCTTCACATAGCTGGGGCTTGGGCCTTCACCTGCAGACGCAGTTATGACAACCTGCCGCACAGGTCACGTGAGAACACACGTGAAACACAAGTACCTGGCACAGAGGAAGCAGTCAGCAAGTGTTAACCCCAGTGGAAAAGGCAGATCACTTGTAACTGTAAATTTTTTGAAGTTTAACGAAAGTCAGCGGAACGCTCCCGCGGAGGCTGCCTCCAGTGAGGCCAACACTCCCCCCAGACGGGGGTTAGGCTGAGAGGTGGCTGGTCCCAGTGCTGCAGACAAGAGGGGACCCCGTGACAGTGCCGAGAGCCTGCAGAGCTGGCGGGCGACAGCCGTGGGTGGGAGGGGAGCCCCCACCAGGGACCACCGAGTGCTCCCCACAGCAGGTATGACAAGTCGGGTTATCATCCTTCCTGAGTGTTAACAGGTTCCCAGAGGCTGTTCTGTGACCACGCTCCTAGAAAAGACACCCCCAGTCCCCCTGCACGGGACACGCCTCTGCCACTTCCTGGCATTTCGACAGGACCGGCAGCCAGTCCCCCACGCAGCCCACCGGTGTCCGAAACCCTCAGCCGCGGCCGAGTCCCGAGCACCCCAAACCCGCGTGTGCCCGCGACCCGGGGCGATGGCCGCGCAGGCGTGGGGGGCACCCGGGCCAGGCTGTCGCCACCCCCCCCCCCGCGCCCTAAGGAGCCCCCCCCCCGGCGCGGGGCGCCCCGCAGTCCCGGCGACCTTGTTCCTCACCCCGTGACGGGCGGCACCGCCCCCCACCCAGGGGCCGCGCTGAAGCCGGGGTGCGGGTGCGGCCTTCCTCAGGCCTGGGCCGCCGGACACCCCTGGTCCGCAGGGGTCCCCGCCCACCCTGCGGGGCGCGAGGCTGCGGTGATGCCCACGGTGGCGGCGCGCAGGCCCCGGGTCCCCGCGACCTCCCAGCGCCCGGCCGGCGGCCAACACATGGCCCCCAGGGGCGCGCACGGCCCACCCGCGACGGGCCCACCCGCGGCTCGGCCCCGGCCCGCCCGCCGCCTACCGGGCCCGCAGGCCGCAGCCGGCACCGCACGGAGCCCGCAGCCTCGCCGCCGCCCGCGCACCAACAGCCGCGCCGCGCCCAACGGTCCCCCCGCGGATCCCTCCGCGCCGGCCGCGGGCCCAGCCGCGCGCTCGCCCCCGGGGCCGGCTCGTGGGCTCGCCCCCGGGGCCACCGCGGAGCCGGGCGCCGCCCTCTTTTTCCGGGCGGACGGACACGGGCTTCAAGGCGCCCGCTGCGCCGCACGTGACGCGGCCCAACGGCGAGGCGGGCGCTCGCGCTGCGCCCTGATTGGCTGCCGCGCTCGGCGGTTTCACGGGCGGCCGGGGCGGGGCTCGCCTGGCCCCGCCCCCGGCCCCGCCCCTCTCCTCCGGCCCCGCCCCGCCCCGCCCTCCAGGCCTCACGTGGCCCCGGGGGCCCGCCCGCACGTGGGACGGTGCGGGGGTGCGGGGGTGCGGGGGCGCGGCGGAGACTGTGACGAGGAGCCCAGGCGCGCTCCGGGCGCCCCGCTGTGAAATGCCGGCCCGGCTCCCGGGGGGCCCTCCACTCCGTAAGTCAGTCCGCGCGTGAGCTCGGGAAGGGAGGGGTGCACGGCCGGACGGCAGGCGGGGTCCCGGACAGAGCAGACGGAGCTCTCCAAGTCGGCCAGCGGGGTGCTGAGCGCGGGCGTCAACGTGCAAGGCAGGGCTCCCCAAACTCCCTGCCTCCGCAGCTCCTGCAGGGCTGGCGAACCCCGGGTCGCCGCCCCCCCAGACTCTGCCTCGGCGGCTTCGGTAGGTGGGACCTGCCGACTTGCATCTCTAACCAGGTCCAGGTGATGCTTATGCGTCACGTGGACGTGAGTCACCGGGCCAGCGCCCGAGTGACCTCAATAGGAGTCTGGTTTTCCACCGGGCAACACCACACAGAACTACAGCGAGCACTGAAACGTAGAACAGAATTATTTGTCGGCTGGGAAGTGGGGCTGATGGGCACTAATTATGTGCCGAGCTAAGTCCTGTAACAATTCAGTAGCTGCTTTGCAGCAGAGTGTAGGGGTGGTGGCAATGTGGTTACCTCTGGGGACGTGTCTTAAAACTGCGTTCGTGTAGCGAACATTTTAGAATTCATATTTGAGCGGGTCTGTGTCGACGGAGGTGGGGAGGGGACGGGCTGGGGAAGGGTTAATCTCCCTAAAGCACCTGCCCAAGCCCCACTCTTGTCTGCGGGGTGCAAGGAATAAATAGGCTGGACTTCATTGTTCCCCACACTAACTTGATTGTAAAGATCCACTGGGGGAATCTCTAAAAAAAAAACCCACATTCGCAGATCATGCGGGTTCAGTAGGTTTGGGATGAGAGCAAATAATTTTACTGAAAGATGCCAAGCGAGTCCTATGCTCAGAAAAGTTTGAATAATTTGAGGCAAGGTCTGTGATCCTGACATTAGATGAGAATTAATCCTGACTTAAACAATTGATGAGAAAAAGCAAGACACTTGAAGACAAGTAATTTGGGGCAAACACACACACACACACACACACACACACACACACACGGCCTCACAAAGGTTTGCACTTTTTATCAAATAAAAGGCACAATTAGGAATACAATAAAAGCATAAACTTGGGCAGAAGGGATGTAAAATTTGGTTGAAAAAGATGTTCTGCAACTTGGCCAGTAGATGACGCAATAAAGCAAGAAATCGATCTTTGTAGCTTCAATCACAAGGGATAGAAATATCCTGAATGGACTTTAGAGGGTAAAAGTGACACTTTCCCTGTGTTTATTTTCCCTGAATGCCTGAACTCCTTGGGGCTGCCAAAGATACAGTGTGTGTGTGAAATATCGCCGGAGTGTCTTGGGGTGTGCAGTGTGTGAAATCTTGGGTTTCTAAAGACGTAAGTTGTGATACAGCAAGATGTAGGTAATTCTCTAACCCTCCTTCTTCTGATGGTGCAAATGTTTCATCTCACCAAGCTAGCCTAGAATTTAAAAAGAAAAGCTACAGAGAGGTCGGGGGAAACATTGTTTCTATATTAACCACAGGACCAATACCCTCTGTGGCATCAGTTACTAAATGAAACTGTGTGTCAGATTCTGGAAACTGAATGGGGGGAAAAAAGTGCTTTTTCTTTTTTTGAATGATTAAATTATAGTTTCTTTATAAATGGAATACAATACAGCAGTGAAAATAAATTACAGCTTCATATGCCCACATGGATGAACTTTATAAACCTGCATATTGAGGAACATTTTTTAAAAAGCAGGAGAAAACTACAGGATTCCATTTATATTAAAAAAGTGTGCTTTTCCTATGTATCCAGTGCTCATTGATCTCTGTTCTGAACCAAGCTGAACCTCAACCGATACCCAAACTACTTTCTGTGTTAGTAGAAATTGTCACCAAGTCCCCACATCTGGGGTACAGGAAGCCTGCATAGGAGAGGGTACTTTGAAAAATATCACCGGGAAAGAGACTCATATTGTCTTGAACGATGATAATAAAATCACATAATTAAATTCATTGGTGGACATTTTAATGTCCACCTATCTTTAATAACATAGTTACTCTGGATTTATTTCTTTCCTTTTTTTTTTTAAGACTTCCTTCTTGAAACCCTTTGTTGTGGAAGCTTTCAGAAACATTTCATTTTTCAGTGACAGTTTGCGTTCAGTATTGTTTTGTATTAGTTTGAGGCTGGCTTTCTAACTAACCTGAAATACACCGCTTTTGGAAATTGTTGAGCATCTGAACTGACCAGTGGCAGACGCAGAGATGGTGTGGGCCATGTGTCAACCTGAGCTGTGTTGTTATTTGTGAATTGGAGCCTTTGAAATTTCACCAGCTTCACTTCAGTTGCTTACATTCAAAGAGCAAAAAATCACATCCTTGCAGTTTTTTGTTCGTTGCTACAAAATCACAGGAAGTTACATTGAGCTCGGTGACGTGATGCATCACCGGTAGGTTATGAAGAGCTGTCCGGGGTGCGGGTGCTCTCCTGCCCCGATCGGGAAGGTAATGGGGAAGGAGGGTGGACATGTAAGGAGGCCACGGGCACAGAACGAGAGCAGACTGGGGCGGCTGCATGAGACCACTGGATGGAGCGTGTGAGATCTCGGGAAACCGGAAACTGTGGTTCCCGTCCACGCCCCAACTGGGGATCGGACCTGCAACCTGGGTATGTGCTCTGGCTGGGAATTGAACCCGAACCCTTTTTGGTGTATGGGACGACGTCCAACCACTGAGCAACCCGGCCACGGCAACCCACACTCTTTTCAAAACAGTAAAAACAGCTTATTTCTATTAAAAAAAAAAAAAAAAATAGTGGGTCAGTATATGCC